CCTCAGTTTTTAGTAGGGTTCGTGTTACTCAATCGTTAGTTGTCTATGTTGTGTTTTGTAGACTGTTGATTGTCTATTCGTCATTTTGTCTTTTTGCCATGGCGTTGTAAGTTTATTTTCGGCTATTGAGTTTGAATGTCCATATGGTATATTTCACCTTTCTCTCTCTCACTAAAAGAATGTCAACGTTTAAGTTTTATGATTGTGTTCGAGAATGGTATTTCATTCATGTTTTCAGCATTCCCACGCCGGACCTTTGTTAATATGTGCATCGAAACTATTTATGAACAGAGCCTGAAATTTAACAAAACATTTATTTTTTTATTTTAAAGTGACTATCTAAAATCATGAATGGGAAGGGGGTACTACGTAAACGGGTTAAAATACAAATATATCTCCAACTTTTTACGACTAGACAAATTCATATACAGATATTTTTTTATACGTAAACGGTCTAATATACATATCTCGAAAGAAACTTTTTCGACTAGACAATATAAAATAAAGATATTATTTTATCATTTTAAACTTTTTCCAATTGTGTACACCAGGTGCGCGTTTCGACTACAAAAGACTCACCAGTGACGCTCGAATCAAAAAAGTTAAAAAGGCTAAATAAAGGACGAAATTGAAGAGCATTGGGACCCCAAACTCCGAAAGGTTTTTCCAAAATACAGAAGTTAATTTATTCCTGGGGTAGAAAACCTTATATTTCGATATTTTTTTGTAAACAGTTCGTAATTATGACTATATCAATGATAATTTATGTCACGCAAAAGTGCTGACTACTAGCTGGGCTGGTGATACCCTCGGGAGAAACCTCCAACAGCAGTTGCAACGACCCAGTGGTTTTAAATACACCCATCATAGCTACCAAGATTAACATTTGTACGCCCTCTACAAGGGATCTATAAATGACTATTATACAAGGGATATATAAGTGACTATTATACAAGGGATCTATAAGTGACTACCAGGCAACCTTATATTTGAATAACGAAAAGATATTCCATTGGATAAGCTTAACATGTAGTATAAATTCTATCTTATTCATATAATTTTTTCCATTTATTATTGTAGATTTGACAATGTAAACTATAATCGTTTTATGAAAGCTTGGTGGCTGATTTTTTTATTAACTGAACTTTGGAAGCCAAAACTGTTATCTATAAAGAAAAACACATTTTTTACCAACTAGTAAAAAATCTAATTCTTTAGTAAATTAATTGTCTTATTTTGTCGAATATCAATCTAAATGTAATCCTTTGACTCAGTGAAGTTCTTATTCAATGGTTTATTTAGACAAAAATGTATGCAACAGATATTTACTCCGACACGATCTATCGAACATACATGCATAACATAATAGATTGCTGTATAGCGAAAACAGTAGTATTTATTTTAACATGCCAGTACTGACATTTTCTGAATTTGCTACTTTTTATAATAAAAACTAGGACAAGCCAGTTTTGTGTGATATTTATTCTTTTTCATTCTGTTTAAGAAATTGAAGTCAAATGTTTTTGAGTGTCCATAGCAAACTTCATTTTACATAACATTTATAAAATTTCAGATGCCTTTTCGAAGAATTTTCAAAAAATATTTCCATATGTTTCAAAATCTCTATTTTAAATAAACAGACAGCAGTTATTCATAAAATAAGGAAAATATTATATTTTACTTATGATTCCAATCGCAGTGGGGCGCTCCAAAATTGACTTTCTTCATCTAAGTAAGGTACACAAAAGGCCAACCAAAAGCCAGGAAAATGAAATACTACTTTTTCTCGATAATTTAACTACAGCTTTCGGAATCTCCATGTATATACATACGCTAATACCAAACATTACATACTGAGTTCATATCCCTATTGTTATCTTTTTTCTCTCAAACTTTTGTTGATTTAATATTTATCAATTGATAAAAAATGAACGTTTGCTGCAGTATTACATGTGAAAAAAGAGAATGTATTATAATTCTATATAAAAAATATATTGAAGAAATTAAAAAAGAACAAAGAACAAAACAATATAGGTCAACTACTTGATATCGTTACATATGATACCTTGGTGGAATTCTCATTTCAAATAATGTAGTATTTGGAGTCTAGCTCTTCGAACTTTATATCATAGCCCCTCACATTAAATAAAGCAGCTGGTCACTACAGACAATGAAAATATTTGGTTATTTGATCGACCTAAAATTATACAAATGTAAAATAGACACCCATTTGCCATAGTTCGATTTCCGATATGGTGTAAATCAGCAAGATTTTATAGTTTTGTTTTTGAATAGTCCTACACATGAATGTGATAAAACTTTGCTTGTTTTAAACGTGTTATGAATGGTTTGGATTACTAGTATTAATTTTATTTCGCGTAATGTCCATTTTTTGTAGCAATTAATTAACAGAACTTCACATCATTTGTTTCGACTTTGCATGAATGACGTTTCTGATATTTCAGGCTAATAAATGAAGGAAATAATTGTTATTGGCTTAAAACTTTAAAGACTATTGAAGATGGTTTAACAAACAGTAGTTTGCTTTTTCATCAGAGTAGAAAATGACCTTATACAGGTTATTATGTTATGCCTTGAAGCATATTTTATTGAAACATGGTATTGTACGGGTTGTTTATTCAAAAGAGATACCTATCGTTCTGAAAGAAAAATAACTCCAAATAGAAATATAAGTCCAAATATATCCAATTCCAGAAATATCATTCAAGGATAACTAATGCATACAAATACTACCCGTCAAGCAGCAAGAACCATGCATATGATTATAAAGTGTCAATTTGGAAATAAATATAAATCAAATGCTACGTGTTTGAAAAATGCAAAGATCTTTTGCATGTTAAAGAAACTATGAATAAACTTCAGACTGTCGTTAGTGCTCTTTTGCAAAGACACACTTCTTTTTTTTTCTATCTTCTCCTTTAATGTCCAAAGCGGCAACCTGACCGAAAAAATTCTTTGTTCTCATCTTGAATGTGGATGAAAAACATGTAACTGCAACTAAACATTATGCAAACATAAATTATATCAATATTTTATATTTTAGTAACATCAGCTTTAGACTAAAAGAAAAGTAGGAAAATTTTAAATGCATTCTTAAAAGAGTCTAAGACCACTTTCTATACATCCGTTGAATTGCATAATTTGAGTTTCGTTGGTGGGATAAGGCTAAGGAAAAATCGGAAACCTATGAGTCTCTGCAATTTGGCGGTCAATTTCGTATCATTTTAGTAAATTAAATGCCCAAGTAATACTCAAATATCTACTGTAGTGGAAAGAGGAGTATGCAATCTTGAAAAGTAGATGTCATCACAATACATATGCCAGCAGACATACTTAATCTAAAAGCCTGGTTTTTTGCTGTTATATCTTTCCAGCTGCCAATGTAGGCAATCAACACGCAAAACAATCCCACAATAAAGAGGCAAAAAATGGATAATGTGTATTAATTCGTGACATACAATCTTACATAAAGATGACTCGGAAACTTCTGTCTTTTTGTTGGTTAATCTTCTCTTGTTCTATTATAATAAACCCAATTGATAATTTCATTTTAACTTTGGGTTTTTTTTTTTGGTGTGCCTTCTATATTGGCTGACTTTTTGACTTGTATTCATATTAAGCAGAATTCAAACAAGAGCGTTCTCTGAGACAAAAAAAATAAAGCATCTTGCAAAGTTCTTTGTTTCCACTTTCACATTGATGGTGTCCTGTCATTCAATAACCCATATTCTAGTAACTGCTTGCATCTCATATATCCAAGTGAGTTTAAGGATATTACAAAAACTAGAAGGTCTTCTTCATATTTCAATCTTGACACATGAACCACTGCCAATGTAGTGAGGACAGTTTAAAGTCAGCATTCAGTGGGAGCATGCTTGTGTTCTAACCCCACTTCAACCTTACCTTGCTATGTAAAGTTTTGCAAACCGATCTTAATGTTGCCCAGTCACCAAACGTTTGTTTGTAGTTGTTATAATCATGAAGTTTTATCTGACAACAGATTTGTTAGAATTTAACAGTATTTTGTAGAGAAAATTCACTTATGTAGAACAGCAAATATACTTTCCATTAAAAGAATAAGTAAATGTATCAATTAATATGACAAAGTATGGCTTAACTTGACAGTAGAGGCCATCTTGATCTTGCTGCATAGTTTAAGGACGTTCGCTCCTCTTGTTTTTGAATTTTTGTCAGATATTCGGATTCCTCATGCTTTATCCATGTAGTGCTAATAAATATTTTGCCCGCTAACCCCTACTTATCTTTTCATAATCTTATTATATATAGTTTAAATAGCCATATTTGAAAATCTTATAAAATCCTTGTTATTTTTTTATAGTTTTTGAAAGAAAAAAGGTGCAAATGTTAAATGTATGAAAAATCTAGGGAGAATCATTTCCCGCCAATTTTTCAATGGCTTATATCTCAAAAACAAGGTCAAGGACCCTTCATTTTTTTTTCTGCTTTTTTAGTTCCGTTATTTATATACTATCATTTATAACAGTCTTTTAAAAAGCTTGTTATTTTGAATCAGAATAGCAAACATCCTTAAACCCTTTACTTCATCTTGGAAGGAAAAGCTATCAGATTACCTTTTTCTTACCACTGAAATATGTTTAATCAAATTAATTGTAAACTTTTGGCATGATAATCACATAAGTGAACAGTTTTCATATACCTAAAGTTTCAAAAATAAAAAAAACCTTCCAATGTAAAATTGTGTCAATAAAATTTCAACTTAAGATGTTAAGGATAAAGCTAGTGAAGGTAACATTACTTTGAGTCTGTTTTACTAACATTGATCTTCTTAAATTCACCATCGTATGAAACCAAAAATAAAGATTAAGCCACTGAAGCCTTGCTATCCTTTGTCATCAATTAATGCTTAAAACTTTAAAAATTAAAATAAACACACTAGGAAGGATCATAGCATTTACCTATTTCATTACATGTGCCTTATTTTTATAAAAACAAGTGCAAATATTCTTACGTTTTATTGATGTAAAATATAACATTCAATATAAAATTATAAACAACAAATCATTTAAGAATATTGCCTCTTCCCTACAGAGTGAATTTTACAATATATTCAAATTCATATTAAAACAATGAGCAAAATTTACAAACTTCACCTCATTTTCAGAAAAATATATAACGTGAATAAAACAAATGTATATGTGGGTACTTTGCTTGTATTTTTATTAAGAATGATTCAGCAAAAACATTAACAACTTGTTATCTATTTCAAATGCATTGTAAACAGTAAAATGACATAATGCAATTCATTTCAATGTATAATTATAATAGTATTTTTTAGTATATTCTAATTAATTTGATTCGTTTATAGGCATCATATGTTCAACTGTACTTTCAAGGGTAGACTGAAAACAGTGGTTAGAAAAAGTGATATTGCAGTTATTTTTTAAATATCTAAAAATAGAAATCTAAAACCTCAATACTTTGTGATGCAATCATACAACCACTCAAATGAATTTCAGTTCTATTTGTGGCATATTGACAACAATTGTAGCTTTTGGATGAGGTCCATTTGAGAATATATCAACCTCAGAATTTGCCCTCAGTAGATATACTTCTTTTAGGTCATTATATGCTTGTATCGACCTTATACAAAGGCTACGATTGTATATTATCAATCTTTTTTTTTTAAATCCATAAATGTGCAGATGAAATGGAAGAAAGTATTAATCAGTCATTTTGTTATTGATAACAATCACAATATGAAGATATAATATTGGTTGGTTTCAAGAGTCATTTTTTGAAATAGCCTAATAATTATAATACATGTATATAAAGAACAATGTTCATTTATTTCATTTGGTAAGTAAAATGGATAAATTTGTAGATCTTTGGAAGGTTACTTAGCAGCTCCCCTAATATAGATACAACTTGAAGTCACTGTTGAGGTAAAAAAAAACTGTTCAAAGCAATGACGACAAATGACCCTACAACCTTATCATATGAAATAGGAATAACTATGATTTAATTATATTTAACCATATTTGAGATATTTAGGTTTTATAATACAAATCATGTGTCCATCTATCTCTTAAGATCTGACTATACTCTATTCAGGGATCCAACTATACTCCATTCCGGGATCTGACTATACTCCATTCAGGGATCCGACTATACTTCATTCAGGAATCTGACTACAGAATACTGCATTCTATTATCTGTTTTGATAATAATTGCATCAACCAATGATATAACCCCTTCAAAATTTTGAAGATCTTAAAAAGTCATCAAAACAAAACGTGAACGTCTAATGGGCACTTGGACACAGGATCTGTATTTAAACTAGATTATATCTGAGAAACATCAGGCCTTGCGGTCATAAAAAGTTTGAGCACGATTTTCGTACTCAGACTCAGAAATTAACCAATCAAAATCCTGGATTTGGTGTTTCGAGCACAAATTTTGTACTCCGAGTACTGAGTAAAGTTTTATGACCGAGAGCCCAGGTTAAGCATTAATACATGCAAGTTCATAGTAAAATCCTTTTCATTCAATGTTCCATTATACTTGTCATTATTTGTACACATATGTTAGAAACTTAATCAGCTGTTATGTTAAAGAAAATACAATAAATCAGTTAATCTGATGAGCAAATATAAAAATACTGACAATTTGCATCTTCCTGTTTTAATCCATAAAAGTGCTACATAAGCACCAAATTTTAAATTGCTATTTTCATCATATAAGTTTAATATAATTTGCAAATCATTATGTATATTTCTGAACAAAAAACATATAAATTGTTCTGTGGAGAATGTACTGAAACCTGATAAAATGAAATATATATAAAAATATGTATTGTGAAAATTACAGATCACACAATGATAACATATATGATATGTACCCAGTTTGACATTCTAAGAACAATAGTTGTGTCACAACTTTGGCTACTTTTTTAATTACTTCAAAGAGATATTGCTATTCACGACTGTCAATTGGTCATAAAAAAAGAAATGGCTTTTCTTAAAAAATGTGTTTTTATCTATAACAAGGTTACTTATATTTCAATAAAAACTGTTTCAGTATAAATCTTCACACAACTAATGAAAATTTCTGTTTATAAACATATTTTCAAATAAAAATATCTAAAAGTTCTACAATTGAAATCTTTGACCTTTTAAAAATATTCTTGACAAATAATTTGGAGCAAAATGCCATATGATACACTGCAGCTAGAAAAGCTATTATAATCAAGGTATAGGTACTATAAACCTTAAATATGTGTTGGTTAATGTTCAAGTATGCATTACTCTACAACTCTGTCATAGTTAAATATTGGAAGCTAAAGATAGGTTAAAAAATTCAACTTATATTATAGTAAATAATTTAAATGATGCATTTCTACATGAAGTAAACAAAATTCTTTTTATAGATAATTAAATGATTTGAGCAAACAATGCAGAATATTTTTGGCTGTACAAAGTTCAAAAACGTCATTTGACAATGCAATCTCAACTTAATATGTTCCTCACGATGAAAAAATAAATATAATATAATGACAATGATCATAAAACACACATTTATATGTGTAACATGCAAATAACTAATCAACGAAAAGGTAGAATTTAACCACTTATTTTAGAAATTATCTGCATAATATGAAACAAACAAAAAAGATAATGATTCTATACACATCAAAAACACTGCATTTTCTTCATTGGAGGAAAATGAATTTTCTGCACACATTTTATTCCTATCATATTACAAACCTGATTTAATTTTTGGCAGTAGCTGTTATTTTAGGGGGTTCAATTTTTTATGGGTTCATTGTAAAAATCATAATCTTGATCAAAAAATGAAACAGATTCTTCATTAATTTGTCAAAAAGCCTGAAAATATGTATTCAAAAGCTATCCTTTGAGCAGATTTTGAATACACTTTAAAATTTGGAAACTACAAATATGAATATTTTCACGTATATATTTTAATTTAATTACGGTACTGAAAATTCAGAAATCTTTTGCAAAACTTTAATTATTGTGAAAATAGCCATAGGATAGGTTTCTCATAAATAAAAACATACCGTTACAATTTGATAGTATTATTTATTTAAAGAATTTCCTGAAATTGTAATAATCAATCTCATAATTTTTTTGTCAATTGTTCAACATTTGCAATAATAAAAGAACCCATAAATTTATAAATTTACAGTATAGATTTCCTATTAAAATATAAACAAAGTAAAGATGGCAATAAAATATGCTGACATGTACAGGTTATGATTTACTGGGTCATCATGACTGCATGCATAAAATGTTAACATCATCAACACTCTAAACATACATATCTTAAAGAATCTGTTAAATAATTATACATAACATCAAAAACAAAAATGTGCTGGTCCAAGAATATTGTTTCCAAAAATATAAATTGAGCAAAAAGCAAGCCCTATCCCAAATTTGTTTCCCTTTGTCTTACAAATCTAAAATAATAAAAACAGGGTTTGTATCCTACCAGATAATATTTGACTGGTTTTCTACAATGATTAGCAATAGAAGGAAGAAGACATTCACTTTCTTACCTAATATTAGTTTTATGCATTTAAAATTCTGACTTTTTTTTTTTATCCTTTTAACTCAACTCTGTTATAACACAAACAAATAGTTTGTTTATTGAAACTTTGAAAATGTCCTATCTAATTTAAATCCAGAATCCGATTCCTGGGTAAAAGTTTTAAACAAACTTAGTGTGTCACCTCCAGTTGAGAACAAAAATAGCAAGGTAAATAATTTTCCTTTTGATCTGCACACAAATTGTTTATTCAAACTGGATACAAAACCAATACGGACACATCATGATTTCATGCCATAGTGACTGTAACTCTAAACAACAACTTGTAAATCAAGGAATATCCATACTAGGTTTCCATTGTTTATCAAGTTTATTTAAAGACCGTAGTCATTTATCATAAATCATTATTTCACTTATTTTTAATTTCATACCTAGCAGAAATTATAATTTCATCATTATTCTGATAATTCCATTAATAAAACAAACTTACAGTGTGGTAATCCAGCAATATAGATTAACTTAACCTTTGACATTAAGTACTAGTAACTGGTAGTTATTCTGTTAACTTATGATGGGCTTAAAAAAATATATGTAAATGACAAAAGGGATTCTTGTGTAGATGTTTTGACATTGGTTTATGTTTATGAATGGAATGTATCGTGACCTCATGAATTATTCTTGTGTCTTTAACGGTATCAATGAAGCTTTGTATCATCATTATATATCACAGCTGGTTGTCGTCGTGGAAACAGTAGTGAGATCAAAATTATAAGAATACCAGTGATGTATAAAGAAAATATCGTGTATTCATTTGGTAAAAAGCACTGACTAACTTCAAAGTTTTTCTCTGTTATCACAGCCTAAAAAAGAAAAAAAATTTACTAAAGAAAAAAGAAGTCAAATTATTACTGAGGAAAAGAAAATCATAAAATTCCTAATTTTAACATGGGCACACATGTAAATCTCCCCAATTAAGATTTGATTAACAACATTATATTTCAGACTTCTTTTTATTGCAATTATCACTGATATCATTGGTATGACAGAAAAAGTGTGCAATTGTGTAAGTAAAAAATGCCTGGTCAAAGAATCATGAAAATTAAGTTTTATTTGGACTAAAACAATTCAAGATGACCATTTTTATCTAAAATATGGATGTGACCAGAAAATACAGGGGTCTTGAAGCCTTTGGTTAAGGTTTTATGGCATGCCATTTTTTCTGGAAAAGACTAAGTTAAATTGTATAATGAAAATATTTCTTACAATTCAATGGTAATAGCTTTACAATTGCCTTCTAAATTAATGTGTTAAAATAGAATTTCATATCAAAATCCAAAATGTAGGCATCAAGTTCATATCAAATATTTCATTGTAAATAATTAACATAGATTAGATGATGTATAACTTGGTCAAAAGTTTTATAGATAGAATTAATATATAAAATCTTAAGACTCAACACGATGAGCTAGTTAGCACTATACACTCAAAAGCATATAATGTAAAATGCATTCACATTAAAAAATAGGTTATCAAGACTTAAAGAAAAACTTACTAATAAAAATGATGGGTTTTTCTTATTTCTCCAACTGAATGATGAAACAGTCCACTCAGGAGTAACTTCATTGTGTAAAACATAACAACCATGGTGGGTATGTCCACTTATAATCAGACGTGGATTTATCCATTCAAATAACTGGAAGATAAATTACATTTCAGTAAATTGTAAAACAACACACAGGGAACTTCCAAAGACCTTAGCTTATTGAAATTGGCAAATCTTTATAATAAGCAAGGCATCATAACCCTGAGATTGACAGATAACTTCATGGTGGCCAGTTCTGTGGAGCTTGGTTACATATATGTGTGTATGTCGTCCAGGGTTCTTTTCTATATTGTAAATAAACATATATTTGTGTATGCCCTCAATGTGCCAGTTCTGTAGGGTTTGAATATATATTTGTGTATGCCCATAATGGGTCATATCTACAGTGTTTGAATCTGTCATATTGGTGTTTCTTTATTGAGAATAAACAGAATATCATTAATATTTTGGATTCATTATTTTGGTTGGTACCAATTTTCATGGATTGAGGAAAATTGAATTTTTGTGGATATTTGATTTTGTTGTTTTGCCATTGTCTGCATACAAACCTATAGATAATTTGTACTTCGTTGAACATCTAAATTTATCCACGAAATCCAAGAAAATAGGTATCCTATGAATATGAATAAATCCACATTATACTGTTTAATAATGTAGACAACTATAGAATAAAGATTTTAAAACTACAGCTTTACGAAATTCTCAAACAGAAGATAATTCATTCTTTTAAAAGTTCGAAATTATGTATTGTCAGTTGGGGAAGGCATGTGTTGAAACAGTTTTTATGATTTAAGGTAGATTCACTGTATACCGCCATCTTGGATTGTACAATAGCAGTACACAATCGGTCTAGTTCTTTGCCTAAATCTGCAAATTTGGAGACAGATTTGCAATTTATGTGTAAGACTGCTTATTTGTATAAAGAAAAATTAGTGATTTATTGCATTATCCAAAATGTTCAAACAAATACCAAATATTTGTGTTTTTTCAATCAATTTTTCAGCTTAGCCATTAAGGGGATTTAACTCTTATAGTAAATTTTTATACTGGAATGATAGTGAAATTTTCATTTTTTACTTGTAGCAAGAAAAAAGTTCGGTGACACCATTTTTTGTTTTTATTTTTTTAAAGCATATTATAAAACAAATCTTCTAATATTTAATTTCCAAATTCTATCTCATAGATTTCTTTTTATTTACAAAAATGTGTTTTTTCATGAACAATCTATGCAAATTTGGGCAATTTTGCACAACTTTTAGCTTGAAAAATAGCACGGTGACCCATACTTTTTATTATATTCTTGAAAAACGCATAGTAAAACCTTCATTTTGGCAAAGTATTAGAAAATTCTTCTGAGGAAATATATACCGATGATACACCTTAACTACTACCAAAAAAAGTTAATCTCAGGTAATTATCATAGAAATGAAACAATATCTATGATAGTGTTTTTGTTTCAAAACTATTTCAATAAATAAATAAATACATTTCATTTAATTGTTCTACCTGTTTTGAAGCTTCCTGAGATAAGCAATCCCACTTCTCTCTAAATGGAATATATTTTTCATCAAGTGGAGCTGCATCGGGTACTGTACAATTTGCATCTGATGGACGGTACATGGGAAAATGCTAACAGAAAATAATAAAAAAATATCAGTTAATACCACTGCTGTTTTCATTTCTGGACCTTTTTGTTATTCACACGGACCAAGATTATGGAGGGAGTTCAACGGTTAATTGTAGATCTTTAATAATTTCTTGTAATTTTATTTTAGTGCTTGACATATTGTATAGACACTTGTCTTCTGTTGAAGACTGTATGTTGACCTCTTTAATTCTGCAACATTTTTTTGTTCCTATTACTAGTCAGGAACCTGTTTTTCAGTGTCTGTCAATAGTTGCTGTCTGCCTTATTTGCTTTTTTCTTCTTTGTTTTCTCTTTTTGTTTCATATTTTATCATGCCTTTTATAGCTCACTATAAAAGTTTTAGTTTTGCTCATTGTTGAAGACTGTATAGTGCCTATATTAGTTTACATCCTCGTCCTTTGGTCTCTGGTGGATACTTGTCTCAATGGCAATCATACCACACCTCCTTATCTTTATATTCTTGATGTCTTTTGGTCTTTCATGTCATTAAATTATGTCTTATTGACACCTTCCCCACTTGTTTATTCTAAATCTAAATTTATATACTTTTTGTTAAATGTTTGACCACATTTTTCAATATATTTTGTTTGGAAAGATAAAAAAAACCAACCATAATCAATTTTTCCTATAACTAACCTGTAATAATATTGGCTGTGAGTACTTAAATTTATTAAAACCATCACAGACTGCTGGCATTTCTTTACCTTCAGATATACCCTGAAAAAAGAACATGTACATAGTATCAAAAACATTAGATTAATGGAGATAAATATGGTCACTAACTCTTAAAAGAATTTTTAAATCTACAAAAGAACATGTATAAAATACTGTTTACACATACTGTGAATTCATTTATTTTTTTGGGGTACAAATTTTCGTGGATGGAGGAAAAATTGTATTTTCGTGGATAATTGATTTCATGGTTTGCAAGTCTGCATTCAAGCCTATAGAACATCCACAAAATTGGTATCCAACAAATAATAACGAATCCACAGTACCAAGCAATGCATCATGTAAATCTGTTTGAATTAAAACAAATCACTTTTTGTAAAGATTTTTTTACTGTTGTAAATGTAAACATACCTTTGCACATTTTAATTCCCATGATATATCTTCTAAATCATTAATAGCCTGACTACAAAGATTACAACCATCCCCTTCCATAGCCATACTGTTCAGTAAAACAAACGTTACACCATCTTTATGAACCATTTGTACAGGAGAGGTAGAAAATGCTTTATCAAATCTTCTTCTGTTGAAATCTGAGATCCTATAGTAACATAAATATGAATAAGTCAAACATATTGAAAATTACATGTTATGTTAATTATTGCTTGCTCCATTGTTGCTCAAGTAACAGAGTTTTTTTTTTTTGTTCAATGTGAAGAGGTTTCTATTGACTTCTCCTAAATAACACTGAAAAGACTACTTACTTAAAATAATGCATTTTTATGTGTCCAAAAAGATATTTGAAATAAAGGGTAACAGTCAATCATTTATCTATAATTGTAAATTTTAATTATTGTGGATTAACAATTTTTCATGGGCACACATTTTTGTGGATTTCATGGTTTAAAGGTTAATCACAAATTTAAGAGTTTGACAAAGTACAACTTTCTTGAAGGCTTCTATGCTGAACTTGTTGAAATTGCAAAAGAAGTATCCACTAAAAAAACAAAATGTTTCTCAATTTACAAAAATTGGTACCCAAGAAAATAAATGAATCCACATACCAAATAAAAACTGCATTTTAATCCACCTATAGCAGAACATCTACTAGAATTTAAACAGAGTCTTACATATAATGAAATCCAATATCATGATTCCCTGCCACTGTGTATACATCAGTCCCTGATGGAACTTTAAACATCTTTTTAAATCTTTTTACATGAAAGTTGAATTCTTTACTAGAGCACCATTTGCCTTCATCTAACAAATCACCTGAAATGGGTCAAATGTGTAAAAAGTTTATCAAGATTAATAAGTCAGTACCTACCTGTCACTACCTAACATTATGAAATAGAAACAGTATTCTACTGGAGACTTGTTGTCTAAAGACACAATGATTCACTATTGAAAAATTTGATCAATGTATTATCAAATTATACTATACTCAACATGAAAATAATTTCAAAAACGAAGTTTGCATCTCAGATCAAAACTTAGATATAAACATAAATAAGGTTCATAATTTTAAAACATGAATTAATGCAGATGCTGTCGTGCTTAGCATATCCCAACTCGTAATTCACAGTATTGGAAAACAGGAAGTAGGTGTCTCATAGATCCAAAAGGCACACACACATAGCTGACCACTGTTGAGTTGCTGACCAAATATCAAGTCATTATGTTTCAAAAGTATTGGAGAAATGTGCGACTTAACATTTTGAGTTAATTCAACATATTAAAAAATTCAAACTACACATATCAACAAACAGGAAGTATGTATCTGACAAATCTGGAAAATGCTAAAATATAACAACCCATCACTGTCAAGCTGCTGACCAAATATGAAGTCATTCTGTAAATTAACTTCTGAGAAAGGTGTGACAAAAATATTTACAAAAAAATGTATTGGACAAACAGACGACTGAATGGACAGACTAACTGAAAAGGTGATTGCATTATAGCGCCACAACTAGAGTGGAGGTATAATATATGTCAGCTATTGACTTAATAATTATAATAACAATGAAACTTAAATATCAAAACTATGAAATAAGGTTGATGTGACCTCCATCTAATAGCACATACTCATCTCTTCTAGATCCATATATATATATCTGTTTGTTCATTGGTTTCTAAGATTTGGCTGCGGAAACAAACACAGACTTAGTTGTTAACTATATGCCCATGTTAATTACCATGATCGTATTTGTAAATAAGTTGTTTTTTCAAACCAAGATTCCCTTGAATTACTCCTACCAAGTACTTAACTCTGACGCTTTTTAAACTATAAACTTGAATCATCAGTAACATGAAGCAAACTGCACATTGGCATTTTCTAATTAACAGTTATAATTATTAATTCAAATTAATCTATGTCATACCTAGAAGAAAAACCACCTGTGGATTGTGGATGGTCATAGAGGCCTGGAAAGATTTCTCCATCATCCATTCTCTGAAAGATCATAGGTTTGTATGAGTTAACTGCAAAATCAACCAAATCTAAACAAATATCATAATTAAAATGCTTAACGTGAAAATTTCATATGTTAAAGAAGGTGCTTGTAATGTTAAATTAATTCCTGGATTGTGCCAAATTCTATTTAGTTTTTCAACATTCTTCTAGAATATTTAACCTGATACAAGTCTGAGTGTAATGGCTTACTTTATTTTACCAAACTATATAAGAATTGCATATGGATTGAATGCATGTCGTTTCTTAACTTAAACTTTTATTCTTATTTTGCCTAGAACATTCAAACGTTTCTGATTTATAGGAAATTGCTCCACGTTAAGTGTTGATCTGACTCTTGAAATCGTCCATTTAATGATTGAACTAAATATCTCTAAACAGACATTCAAAGGATTTAAATGGCATTAAATTACAAATACATTTTCTATGTCTTTGCCCTGAAAAGTTTAGGTAACTCAACAACCCTTTTCTTTAAATCAAATAATTGCTTCCCCTCAAAATTTACTTCTATATGTTTCTTTAGTCATAACATTTCAACAACAAAAAAGTAGCATTTACACTTTAAATTTAAAAAACTGTGATAAATGTTTTACCTTCTTATTCTATCTAGCCAATGACCTTCTCTCCATCCTAAAATATGTGTATCGGCAAGTATCATAGCTTTCAATGGTGGTGATTTCATCCCTCCTATAGTTCCTTCCGCTTGTTGATGAGGTAACGTTGGCCATTTACACATCAGCAACACAAAATAATAATGTAGAAATTCACAATAAAACACAAGAAGGAAGACTAAAATGATGAAGCGTACTAATTTGTTTGTTCTGAAGTAGAAAAAGATGATACCAGGAATCTGGCAAATGATGTATGCCATTGCATCTAGTTTACTTCCTTGATTTCTACTGGACATCTGTTATCTGTTGACCATCATGATCTCTTTCATTTCAAAACATTGTTGAATTTTCAGTTGTATCTGAATAACAAAAACTAATGTTGAATAATTTGAGCACTTGAATATTAAATACAAAATGTACACTGCTAAATTCGCACCACTTTAACAAAATATTTCAGTAGTTACAATGTGTTTCTAGGATTAAAAAAAAATATATAAAATAAAAATTCTCTTTCACACAGCAATTCAATCATTATAAAAATAGGTATAGACAACAAAACAACTTTCCTAAGTTTCAAAAAGCAATGGAATTAATGCTCCTTTCCATGGACAACGACCTTTTAAGCCACTCTATTCCTTAAAGTACAAATATTCCTATGATAACCCTTACAGAACAAGCCATTTACAATCGATCTTGTAGACTAGTGTTTATATCTTGTGTGTAAATCTAGTTTTGGATGTAAGGTAGACCACATCTTGTAATTTTGAATGAGTTTTTTCTGCAAGTGGTCTAAATGAGCGCTTGAAACAGATGATCAGCATATATATTTTATCAAATGCATTGTTATTAATCACAGTTTATGGCCAAACTCTTAAAATTATTAAATATAATCAAAGTACTTGTAAGCACTGAAGGGTAAAGATTGCTTAAATTTATCAGTGGGAAGTAAAATTAAACATTGCATTGTAAAAAGCATTGGTTGTAGTTGATTCAACTAAAATTATGGACAAAGGACGACAACCCCAATTTTAAAGATTACTTTAACATGACATCATTGATATCTATAGAACAGTTCTTAGATTCCTACAACTTGCACAAGTTATGTAATTTTCTTGACAAGTACAACATCATTTTGTAACTTGAATATCTGAGCATGTATTTCATTGATAAACTTCTGAAAATGTTCATGGATAGGATGCTTAGAATGTATTGATCAATGCACTATATTTTGTGTATCTCAAAAGTAGTGATAAACCTTGGAAGGTTTAAATATCAAGTCAGTACCATAGGGTTTTGGTTGCATTTCATGCAATCTTTACCCAAAAACTGTCATAAATTTTGCCAAATTATGCAACAAAACAAATCAGGTTTCAACAAAATTAATCTACATTACTGATGTCACAAATATATCACCAATGACGGAATTGGTGAAAATCTTTTTTAATTGAAACAATTAGAAATGTTAATATAAGTATTCATCAAATTTTCGAAGTTAAATTTCTTATTTTAGGGCCAAAATGACTGAGTGAACCAACTACCTTACTTTAAGTACAGACAAACCTGTGCACCAAGGAAAGTTTTTAAGGCATGGCAGGAACAAGATAATTAAAATTTAAATGCATTTTATGTTTCAGAAAATTAAAAACCTTTCCTGGATTTTAAGATTCATTTTTTTTGGTCTCCACAGAAGGTGTCAAAATAAAGAAGTCCCTTCATTTGAGAATTGAATTGTATTGATTGACATTGACAATACATATCTGCACAAAAACAGATGATTTAAATTGTATAAACATGATAAATGGGTGTTTCCAATCAAATGAAATTCTGGTGTTTATTTTACCATCTTCTGCAGGATTGGAAAATAGGGAGCTTCAAAATCAAGGGATTTTTTACTTTTCTGAAACATGTTTTATTTAAATTTTATTTTATCTAAACAACAAGTAATCTTCAGTGTCCTGAAATTTTGTTGATAAAGCGAAGAATAACAACATTAGGCAATTCTAGCTTATAAACATGGACTGTAGCTCAATTACTGAACCACGACTTCCAAAGAACTCCCAAAACCTGCCAAAAACTGAATATTGACCCAAAAACCAATAGATTTTACCTGAAAACTTAATTTTCTATAGTGTTATACTGCTTTTATAGATATTGAAACTATATACTTTTGAGATATACATGCAAGTCATTTTTACTCAATAAAAATACAATTTCACTTCAGGAATTCTAACTGTGTGTCTTGTATGCAAGTTCCTTGTGGATAACAATAAGGGGGACGTAAATATTCAGAAGGTAGATAACTCTATCTAAATAAAAGTATAAAAAGTATTAATCATATTTTTTTTAAATTGAATTTTTCCAAATGATGTATTTACTTTCAAATTTCCATTACTAAACTAAGTATTAATCATATTTTTTTTAAATTGAATTTTTCCAAATGATGTATTTACTTTCAAATTTCCATTACTAAACTTTAGTAATGGAAATTTGAAAGTAAATACATCATTTGGAAAAATTCAATTTAAAAAAAATATGATTAATACTTTTTATACTTTTATTTATAGTAACTAAAGAAACAAATTCTTCACTTTTACTTAGATACAGTTATCTTACTTTTGAATAATTTCGTCCGCCATATTTTTATGCAAGGATCTTGATTACAAAACACACAAATCGAATTCCTGAAGTGAAATTGTACTTCTACTGAGAAAAAAATAACTTACATCTCAAATTTCTGCATTAATATTAAGAAGTGCAGGCTAAAACTTAGCAAACATAATAAAGAAACATAATTGATTATTTCTGTGTACAAAGTTTTAATTTTGTATAGTATTAGTAATATTTGAAGAGATTTATTTTTATCCAGCTACATTAGCTCAAACAGCTTGCAGATGTAGACAAAACAATGACAGATGGCCTTTCCAAGCACACAAGATTATCCTCCTATTTTAATGTCTAGGTAGAGCACTGCATAAATAAACACTGATTGTTGTACTTAAAAAATGGGTCCTTAATCTGTTAAAAGATGGGGCAAAGTTCATCACACAGATGTCAGATATGTATATAATATGCAATGCAATATAATATCTAGCTGTTACATTCTACAAAATCTACACTGTGTCTTGCTCAAATTAAATCGTGATTGGACTGATAATAGATATTGAAATTAACTGCTATAATAGAAAATCTGGAAAAGAAAAATAATTTACAGAAGGCTGACATTTTGGCGATTGTAAACTTATGAATAAAGGTCGGGTACAATATTATCCGGATTACATTACCCTATTACCGACGAAACGAATAAGAATAACATGCAAGAACGGCCAACAATTGTGAACGTTTACATATACATATGTTATAATCTTTATGCCTCTCGGGGCCCAAAATTGGATAATAAAATTTATCTTATCTTATCTTATCTTATCTTATCTTATCTTATCTTATCTTATTCAATTTAAAAAGATTTTTTTTTATTATATTTATATTTACCATGACCTAATAGACACTCCCTACAAAATGAAAAGTTCACCCATTTTTAACTTAAAAGCAATTATCGTTTAGCAAAAAAACAAAAAAGATGTTCTGTGCTCACGTCCTACCAACCAACACCAACTAGGTTTACAGGGCGACATTTACAACTGTTACAGAAGTAAGCTGGATATGAGATTCCAAATATAATAGATTATTTACACGGTTACCACCATAACATCAAATAATTCTACTGTGAGTAGTAAAATATAATTACTTAAAAGGGAATTAGCTACGGATCAGGATCGAATGATACAAGAATAAATAAATATGTGTTTTTGGTTTCAAAGATTAATAAAAAGCGGAATATAGAAAATAATATTTCGCTTTTAGCAGTCAGTTTAATTTCATTTCGTCAAAATAAGATTAAATAACATCGCTGATGTATTATTGCCTTGCAAATCGATAATTCAACTCATTTAAATCCGTATTCATGCAACCTTTAATTTGACCTTTATTGGGGAAGGTTGCGCATGTGTACAGTATATAGTTCATTCACGACCCTTGCGTAACCAGATGTAACCGGATGCTGTGTAACATAACGGAATCAAGCATTCTTGCTATTACGCAATAAGGAATAAGTCATAAATACGAAATTATCTAGTCATACTCTACTCGAGCCAAATCATGTCCAGACAATATTGATGAACTAGAATACATTATTGTTTAGGGGCCAGCTGAAGCCCGCCTCCGGCTGCGGGGTTTTCTCGCTGTTTTGAAGACCCGTTTCCTGCTCTTTGGTCGGGTTTTTGTCTCTTTGACGCATTCCCCGTTTCGATTCTCAATTTTATGTTACGATACAGATAATGTACCAAAACGGGACTCATTACAACAGGTAAACGATGACACTTTTATGACACCTATTGATTCAATCATTTAAGATAATACTATGATAAAGCAAAACGAAATTCAAACAATATTGACATCAGTCTATTTATTTTTGTTGAAGAAGGTAATTGATTAATTTATTGCCTCAATTCTATACAATGTCGATCCATTACTCTAATAATTCATACTTTACCGGATGATTAAAACAAACAAATATGATTAAACTTCTTTAATTCTATGATATAAGGTCGCCCAGTACGATTATGTTTCTCTTTCTTGGATCGAAAAAAGTCGTCATTTTCAAGATCGATAGGGATACCGCGGATGAATTCAATGCGCTATGTCATTGTTCTCTGTCTTTTTCCGTAGAGAGGTTGTCATCTCTTGCACAACCATGCGATCTTTTCCGGCCTGGGACTGCAACAATATTCTTACTTGTTGCAACATGTCTTTCATGAAATAGGTCTTTCCACAGGAGGTGGGTTCAGACACCTATGTATGATTCAGGGTAAGTGTCAATTTGCACATAAAAAGGTTGTGTAAAGGGGTGTTGGGAACGAAACTCGTCTTTCTCTCGGGGTGATGCCTCCTCTTTTCCTCCCGATAAAGTCGATTCGGTGGGAACCGGAAGAAAGGCCTTGTCGGACTGTCATTCTCCAGTGTCTGAGCATTTTGACTCTTTTTGAGGGCTAGAAAAAAGTGTCCTGTCCCCAACTACCTATGTATGATTCAGGATAAGTGTCAATTTGCACATAAAAAGGTTGTGTAAATTTCGCTGATGAGAGGAATATTTTTGTAGAAAACGGTATCCATGATCAATACAAAAGGTAAGTAACTTTTTATGGAAGGGATTCAGCAAATCACACAATATTTCTCAAGTTTAGTAGTTTTTATAACTTTTAAAAAATTGCGTGCATTAGCTTGGTTTGTGATCAACCTATGTGTAACCAATGTGTTAATCACACCAGTTGCTGAAAAGATCTTATATACCGTCAAAAAATATTATTTTCTGCAAAGATTTGCAGTATTTCCATCCTATTTTAGCGACCACACTAAAGTATGATATTCTTTTCTGATTCATTCAGGTTTTTGAGATCTCACAAAACATGTTTAACCCCGCCGCAATTTTGTGCCTGTCCCAAGTCAGGAGCCTCTGGCCTTTGTTAGTCTTGTATGTTTTTTAATTTTAGTTCATTTATATGTTTTGGAGTTTAGTGTGACGTCCATTTTCATTGAACTAGTACACTTTTTTGTTTAGGGACCAGCTGAAGCCCGCCTCCGGGTGCGGGATTTTCTCGCTGTATTGAAGACCCATTGGTGGTCTCCGGCTGTTTCCTGCTCTTTGGTCGGGTTGTTGTCTCTTTGACACATTCCCCATTTCCATTCTCAATTTTATTTGATACGGCTCATTTATAATAGATATAAACTTTAGAAATCGTTGTCCAGTTATAAAATCATTACTGTAACTGCATGAAGCAAGACACAAATGAATTGTTACGGTGGATTAAAAATACAAGTCACTTTGTAACTAATTTATTGTATCAACTTTGTTTATGAAAGGGGGATGTTATGTTTTTTTTCTCATGACTATTCAATCGCGGAAAAGCAGATTTTTTTTAAACAATTTTCTTAACGAACTATTCAGAATAATTGTTTTCTCTCTTTTGGTCTGGCAATACACCTTTTTTAAAAACTCAGAATCAGGATTAAATATTATAGCCCCTCTCCATTTTAAAGAACGTGGTGTTTTTCTTTATGAAATAAGAATATTTGGTCATTTGATCATTAGATAGAGTAAAAGGTATAAATAGATGTAAATTGTTTAGAACTGGCATGAAGAGAGAACAAAATCGTGATACATGTACATGTAAGACAAAAAAAACCGAATCATCCACAGAACAAAGTCTTATTTCTAATACAGAATGAATCAATAAGATTTTCAAAATCCTACACACGAATGTGTTAAATCTGGCTTGTTTTAAAATATTTGGAAAAGTGTTGCATTATTAAATTCATCTCGCATAATGTCCCTTTATTGTAGCGACAAATTAACAAAACTTCACATTATTTGTTTCGAAAGTTAAAAATGCGCATCAACGACGATTTTTGGTATTTCAGTCCAATAAACGGAGGAAAGGATTGTTTTTGCCTTAAACCTACCAAAGACGGTAAATTAAAAAGTAAAACACACCAATTGGTAACAACACACGATACCTATCAAACGAATCAAATGTTTAAGTAAATTAAAGTTTGCATTTTAATCAGAAAAATAATCAGCTTACACAGATCATTATTTCATACCTTGAAGCAAACTTCATTGAAACTTGGTATCGTCCGGGTTGATTCTTCAAAAGAAAGACCTATAGTTCTGAAAGAAAATAACTCCATGCAGGTATATGAAAATTGTAAATTTCACAAATAAAAGAAAAAATATAATTAACTTCAAGCAACCTCACACAGGCATGCGCCGGAAAGTAATCCTCAAAAAGTTGGTGGTATTCCGTATCTAAAGAAAAAGAAGTTCACCGTTGTGGTAATTCATGAAAATCATTAGAATATATAAACTGAAACTGCAAGTCAAACATATCATAATTTTCATTCCTTGTAAATTGGGGCGGGATCGACTTTAGATATCTGCCGAATCAACTTGGACCGGAACGACTTGGAACGGATCGACTTTGGGCCGGGTCTACTATGAAAGAGAGGCAAAAGATACCAACAGGGACATTCAAACTCATAAGACGAAAATAAACTGACAACAACATGGCTCAAAAAGAAAAAGACCAACATACAAACAGACAAACAACAGTACACAAAAAACAACATAGAAAACTAAAGACTGAGCAACACGAACCCCACCAAAAACTGAGGGTGATCTCAGGCGCTCTGGAAGGGTAAGCAGATCCTGCTTTACATGTGGCACCCGTCGTAGTGCTCATGTTAGTACAAATCCGGCGATAAGTCTAATTCGGTAGGTCACATTCGGGGAAAAGGTATCGGGATTGTAGTTACGGCAATTGAAACATATCCGTTGTCATCTGTGAAACAGATATTCCATAACGGTTCACCAACTCGTGATGGAGTCAGTAAAATTTACAAAGGGGTAATTTCAACTTCACCACTTGGAACTCTTGGTTTAATAGCTTCCTTGTGAGCAGCAACCCTCTATCAAGAAAATCATGATAGGAAATACAAGCCCTGGAATATCGCATCAACTGGGAAATATACATTCCGTATGCAAGCGCTGCTGGCATGTCACAATTGAGAAGCTGAAATCATCTCTTATGTCGTAATTTTTTTTTCAACCAACCCTCATTGTCAATTTCTAGATGTAAGTCAAGATATGAGGCAGACTTAACTGTATCTGTTGTATTCGATGGGATGGATGCGTTGAACATAGTCACCAAATTTTGAACTATTTAGTGAGAGAACCTCATTTATATAGCGGAAATTGAAGTTAACTTCCTATCTTTCTTCCTAAGCAGTCCCTGTATGAAATCGGCCTCATATGGATAAAGGAACAAGTTGGCAAGAAGAGGTGCACAGTTTGTTCCCATGGGAATGCCGATTGTTTGTTGAAAAACATGCCTTCCAAACGTAACAAATATTTTGTCAATCAAGAAATCAGTACATGAAAGTGTGCACAGTTCGGGCAAGACATAATGGTCTGTATTCTGAAAAAAGAAAACTGTGTTCTTATGCCTTTAATATGCAATATTTCAGTTCTGGATATCGAATTTTTATGTTATACATATTTTCCTTTGAGATCTAAAAAGTAAAATAACAAAAATACCGAACTCCAAGGAAAACTCAAATCGGAAAGTCCCTTATCAAATGGCAAAATCAAAAGCTCAAACACATCAAACGAATGGACAAAAATTGTCATATCCCTGACTTGGAACAGGTATTTCCTTATGTAGAAAATGTTGGATTAAACCTGGTTTTATAGCTAGCTAAACCTCTCACTTGTATGAAAGTCGCATAAAATTCCATTATATTGATAGCAATGACTGAACAAAACAAACAGACATATTAGGTAAAAATGTTAAAAATAGGGGTACAGCAGTCAACATTGTGTCATAATCTTAATCACTATAAAAACAAACCAATATGTCAACAAAGAAAAACAAAATGGCATATAGACAAAGCACATAAGCAAAAATGAAAATACAAAACAAAAAAATATGACCATAGCACAATAACACAATTGCGGGATGTATAAGTACCGAGCCATGATTTTGAAATCTCACGAACTAATGACATTTGCATTAATTACAAAATTTTAAAAATGTGATTGATAAATATTAATTCAATTTTATTTTGACCTGAAACAAGTTTTACTGCAAATTTTATACACATTTTGGAATTTGCAAAAGTGTATTTTACCTAGTTCTAAATGTTTATTGTAATCCAAGCACAGAAAGAAGTTGCACAAAATTTATGATGAAATTTGTGATTTTTAAACATAAACTCAGTTTTTTTCCAAAAATCTTTGAGCCGAATTTCAACAAAAATATAATATACATATCTTATTTATGAATTTAGGAAGATGGTTTCCTATTTATATTTGAATGATGTATTCGGTAATCAGGCAAACCTTACTATATTACTTCCGGGTCATCGTTGCCAGGGACTGGCGTCATTTTGTAGCAGTTCTGGCTGTTTTTTGATTTAAAATGTAATGTTTTCGTTTCAAGATCAGAATGAATATACGAATGACATATAGCTTTGCACCTTCTTCCTGAATCAAATGTTTCCTGATCATTGATGACCGACTTTGACATTCCTTTGACACATATTATATCGGCCTTTTTTACTTTAGTCAAGGATTTGTATAGAAATATACAAATCCTTGCTTTAGTCTTTAAGGGAGTCGACAATTTCCTAGATGTTACCTTGGCTTAGGGGACTGTGTCTATAAAAGGATAATTTTCGTCTTTTTATGTTAAAAAAAATATTGATACCTTAAATAAAATTGTTTGGCAACATATTATAGCAAATTCTTTAGGTTCATCATAAAAAAAAATGGCTGAGTTTATATCTCAAAAACTACTATGAGTACAGACTAACCTGTGCAGTTTGAAAAGTTTTAAGGCCTGGCATCCACTAGATATATAAAAGTTAAATGCATTTTGTGTTTCAGAAAGAAAAAAAAATTGGGGGATTTTCTGAAACACAAAATGCACTTTATTTTTATATACTATATTGTGGATGCTAGGCCTTTTACAACTTTTCCAACTGCATAGGTTAGTCTATACTCAGAGTAGTTTTTGAGGTGCAAACACAGCCATTTTTGTTCGCTTGTTATGATGAACCTTATTGTTTATTGCAGATTAAATGGCAAAAAGGTAAAATTTTAAAGCAATTGAGTCCACTAAGGTAAAGTGGTGCTATAATGCCTTCTTTTACTTTAGGGGACCCACAACCTATATAAATATCTAAAGAAACAATTAATATAAAACTATATTATATATATGTATGGATTTCCTAAATTAAAGTAGAGCTATGATGCCTTCATCTTCGCTAGCCAAGGGTTACGATCCACTTCCCTCCTCTCCACCCTTGGCGGATCGAGATAGAATTTCGGAGACACAAGGTAATGATTTTCATTGGTTGCAGTCGAAACTCACTGCATCCAATCAAAAAGCGCCTATAACATGATCACGTGTAAATGTAGAAAGTGTATGTAAACAATTGCCACGTGCTTATTGTGCAACAAGTCTTTGCATCCCTAAACATACGACTATATTTAGTGACAATTTGAATGTTTTTAATCAACTAATAGAAGTTCCTGTGTATGTTTCTTGCACAAATGCATTAATGTCAACGTATATTTTCGTTTCCTGCTTTACCAAGTGTGTAGAATCTAGACGCTACCGTGTTTTTACCTCCAAATTGAAGAGTTCAAGTGCTACCATTGGTCAAGAAAAATGTATTAGGAATGGGCGTGACTTTAATATACAGATAGATGGCGCAACATTGTTATCACAAATGTTGGCTTAATCTGCCAAGGGTGGAGAGGAGGGTAGTGTATCGTAACCCTTGGCTAGCGAAGATGTGATGCCTTCTTTTACTCAGTTAAGGTACCAACTACCTATATACCGATCTAAACAAACATGACAAATCAATTACTATAAAACTGTATGATATATATTTATGAGAACAGTAGTGCTATAATATCAACTGTTGAGTTATTATAATTTATGACACTACAATAACAGATCCTCTTCTGACTGAAGGTCGCCACTGATTGCTTCTTTTGTCAGCTCCTCTACTGAAATATTTATAATTAGGTTGTGTTTTTGTCAGTTGCCAAACTATATTCATATTTCTCTTATTCCTCAATCCTCAATCTTCAGGCCTGTTGCACAAATTGTCTCGAATGTGCAGGTTTACGCCTTCATGCTTTATGCTCAACGTTATTTTGTCTCTGTGCTTTTAAAGGATATGTGCTGGTTTTGTGCTTTTAAAGGATATGTGCTGGTTAAGATTGGGATTGAGGAACTGCAGTATAAAATCTGCCAGTTCTGTCAATATAATTTGCCACTGTTAATAGTTTGGCTTCGTCTCTTCGATGTTCTCGCCTCCTGCTAGCCTGGTTAATATGGTAGCTAAATTCGGGTTTCAAATCCAGACCTCTTTGGATACTTAATGGAACATATTTTCTCGTTCGTTCTCATAGCAAAAAATGGTAAGGTGTTTATGTGCTCCACAGTTGCATGACTCTATGGCATTGGTTTGGCCTACTCATTTCTTGTAGTTTTAAGTTCTGTGTAAGCCAGTTCTTAGTTGGGCGAATATGCTGAAATGTCTTTTAATTGAAAATTTAAGAAAAACATGATTCTGATTAACAAAACAAGCAACAAATCCTAGTTGACAACCCAATGGTAAAGCAGTTGAGTGGTTTTCGAATAAATCAATAAGCTATTTTTAACTGCAAGTTGATTTAGAAATGTTAATATCTATAGTTAACTATTTCACTATCATTTTTGATACATGGCCCATATCAATCAGTGGTCTGTCCATCTGTCCTCAGCTCTTCATTTAATAACTGAAGTTTGCTTTCTGGATGTTCATAATTTATATACACAATGTTAGGAGTTCAGACGTGAAGACACCTTTCAAAGTTTTCTTATATTTGTCTCCCTTTAGTATCAAAAAGCTTATCAAACAGAAACTCATGTTTGCTTTGATGGATTTTCATAATTTTTAACAGGATATTTGGTGTGCTAAAATAAAGTTCTGTAATGGTTTTGGAGAATTTCAAATAAAGTGTTACAAAATTTTATCTGTTAAAAAAAAAGAAAATCACTTTAATATGTAAAACAAAAACTCGTGTTTGCCTCAATGGATTTTCATAATTTTTGTCGAGCCTGCGACTTTTGTCGCAGAAAGCTCGACATAGGGATAGTGATCCAGTGGCGGTGCCGGTGATAGCTAACTTCTTAAAAGTTTTGTATTTTAGAAGGTGGAAAACCTGGATGCTTCATACCTTGTGTATAGATGCCTTATGTTACAAAGTTTCCGTCTGTCACATGTCCATTGTCCATGACCTCATTTTCATGGTTCAGTGACTACTTGAAAAAAAAGTTAAGATTTTTTGTAATGTTAATTTCTCTCTTATAATGAGTAATAGGATAACTATATTTGGTATGTGCGTACCTTGCTAGGTCCTCATGCCCGTCAGACAGTTTTCACTTGACCTCAACCTCATTTCATGGATCAGTGAACAAGGTTAAATTTTGGTGGTCAAGTCCATATCTCAGATACTGGAAGCAATAGGTCTAGCATATTTGGTGTATGGAAGGACTGTAAGGTGTACATGTCCAACTGGCAGGTGTCATCTGACCTTGACCTCATTTTCATGGTTCAGTGGTTATAGTTAAGCTTTTGTGTTTTGGTCTGTTTTTCTATTACTATAAGCAATAGGTCAACTATATTTGTTGTATGGAAGGATTGCAAGCTGTACATGTCTGCCTGGCATGGTTCATCTGACCTTGACCTCATTTTCATGGTTCATTAGTCAATGTTTAGTTTTCTTGGTTAAGTCTATCTTAGAAACTATAAGCAATAGGTCAACTATATTTAGTGTATTGAATGATTGTAAGGTGTACATGTATTTCTTGTTTGGTTTATATGACCTTGACCTCATTTTCTTGGATCATGTTAAGTTTATGTGATAGCTGTAGTAAAGCTTTATATTTAGAACTATCAACATAATATCAATGATTAGTAAAGAAGGTGAGACATTTCAGCGTGTGCACTCTTGTTATACATAATTTTGCATGTGGGTATTCAAGGGTAAGAAACTTTTAGTAAAAATAATTCTTCAGTATAAAGATATGGTATGATTGTCAATGAGACAATTTTCCACAAGAGTTCAAATGACGTGGATATAAGCAATTATATGTCATGTAAACATGTAAGGCCATCTAGTTTATATACAATGTATGGAAGTTTATATACAATGTATTGAAGAAACAACAAAAAAATTATCAAAATTGGGTAATTTGCATTACATTTAATCTTTTTTGAAATTGAACTATTTTAAAGCTTAAGTATATTTTTTTTCAAATTTTAAAGCATATCTGTAGTTTTATTATTAATTTTTCTCTGTACAACTTGAAATTATTTGTTTTAATTTCAGTGGACAAACATGCATACTTAACTAGCTGATGCCGAGATCTAAAGATGAGCTGACCCTGCATTTAGTAATCATGACATCCAATCTGCCTTGAATAATTTGTTTTCTGGGGGGGAAGTTCAAATATAAGTATTAGGTATGTCTACTGCTGTTCAGACCAATGTGCCTAGCTACACACAGGTTATCAAGAATGGAAAGAAGAAAGGGAAGAAAAAGAAATCAAAACAAAAGTCCACACCAATATCTATGACTAAAAGTGCTTCAACTGGTAGAATCTCAAGTAATCATGGTAATGGTTTAACATCTCTTAGTAGATCTAACACATCGGAGAATCTCAAACTTCCTTCCATTTCTAAAGAATATCCACTATCACCAAGATTGACAACTCCAATGAGGATGCCTCCAGCTCTGAATCGAGAAGTTTTACCCACTGCTTGTGATCGAAGGAAGAAAATGCCACTACTGAATGCCATAAAACCAGAAAATGAAAAGTCTGAGAAAGAAAGATTTTTTAGAGCTAATTACAATTACAATCCATACTTCATCTACAGATTCCCTGCCCCACCTGAAGTACTGGAACGTATCAGTACTCCTTCAGACAGATTACTCAATATAGTAAGTGTCAACATATAACGAAAAAGGTCTAAAAATGGCTATATTGCTACTTTTGTTTTTGTTGAGAAATTTTTATTTCTAATCAAAATTTTATTTAATGTGCTTGTTTGTGTATATTTGAAGTGTTTATTTATGTTTCTGTTTGTGTATATTTGAAGTGTTTATTTATGTTTCTAAATGTGTAAAAAAGAGGCAGAAGATACCAAGGGGACATAAAACATAAGTCGAAGAATAACTGGTAACGCCATGGCAAATAAATCAAAAAGACAAAAAACATAAGTCGAAGAATAACTGGTAACGCCATGGCAAATAAATCAAAAAGACAAAAAACATAAGTCGAAGAATAACTGGTAACGCCATGGCAAATAAATCAAAAAGACAAAAAACATAAGTCGAAGAGTCGAAGAATAACTGGTAACGCCATGGCAAATAAATCAAAAAGACAAAAAACATAAGTCGAAGAATAACTGGTAACGCCATGGCAAATAAATCAAAAAGACAAAAAACATAAGTCGAAGAATAACTGATAACGCCATGGCAAATAAATCAAAAAGACAAAAAACATAAGTCGAAGAATAACTGGTAACGCCATGGCAAATAAATCAAAAAGACAAAAAACATAAGTCGAAGAATAACTGGTAACGCCATGGCAAATAAATCAAAAAGACAAAAAACATAAGTCGAAGAATAACTGGTAACACCATGGCAAATAAATCAAAAAGACAAAAAACATAAGTCGAAGAATAACTGGTAACGCCATGGCAAATAAATCAAAAAGACAAAAAACATAAGTCGAAGAATAACTGGTAATGCCATGGCAAATAAATCAAAAAGACAAAAAAAGACTGAGCAACACCAACTCAAACTGAGGGTTAATTCAGGTGCTCCAGATGTGGCTATATTTATTGGAAAAACAATTTGCATCATGAAATTAGTTTGCCTAAAATAATGATTTATTGACAAGGGATTTTGATGGTGATTTTTTCCATTTTGTTTTCAAGCTTAAAGAATTCTTTAAGATATCAAAACCGTTTTTCTGACAACCATCATATATTTAAAGGTTTAATCTGGCTTTGACACACAGAAATTATATTTTATTTTTCTTCTAGGCTATCTTGATAATGGAAATTGCAATAGATCGTTATGGGAGCTATGAAGAATTTGAAAACCAAACTGGGGGACCAGTTTTAGGAAGATCTCAGATAATTACTCTAGTCAAAAACTATGTGAAACGAGAGAATCTGGAAAATGAAATTATGCTGAACTTAAGTGAAGACTTGCTGTCTCGTGGCTCAATGACAAGAGTTAAAGGCAAACCAACACTAAATGTTCGAATTGTCAATCTACGCCAATATTGGGTAGAAGGTCTTCTCAGGCATGAAATTGGTAAGTTAACTGCTGAACAGAAAAAATATTGTTTATCATTACTTTTTCCAGTAACATTTATACTGACGTAATTTAAAGGCTATTTCTGAAATATTATAAGAATAATAGTTCTTGAAGAATATATATGGGATAATGGGTAACAAAGTTTTACATATAAAAATAAGAGTTTACTTTAAGCAAGCCTAAGGTGAATCTAATATGACTAATAATCCCCTAATGGATCCAACAAATATGTTTGATAGAGATTTCGCTGAGAGAATCATTAAAACAAAAAAGTTAGATCTATAAACAAATGCTACTTATATGTTTACTATACTCTTTCTTGGTAGTGGTTAATATCATTCAGATTGTTAATATAGTTATTTGTGACTCTTTTCGCTAAAAAATCATAGAAAAAATACTTGAAGTCATGATTAACATTTCAGAATAGCTTAAGATCAATTCTGATTGTAAGAGCTTTTTTGAAAAGAGCTTCTAGAACTCAGGTAGATCTGAAATTAATTCACTTGAATAAAGCTGTTTCAAGGTATCTACCGAAAGTAGCTGGTTTTCTCTCAGTACTCCATCTAGCACTATTAATGTGATCTCATACAGCAACATATGATGTGTAAAGACTAGGGAAAGAAAAATGAGCCAAAGCTCTATATACTATTCCTTCAAAATGTAATGCTTTCATGTATATCACGATATATGTTTTCCCTACAGTTCTTTTCATAACAGAGGGCTTAAACTTTTAATAAAGTTATGTTACATACTGGATATTTATTATTTTGAATCTTTGTCCCAAAATATTGGCTCAGAGAATGAGATGTCATTTGAAACTGTGAAGCCTTCTTTTTAAACAGTGCTTGTTTCATATTATAAGTCGTTCAGTTTAACATAGGTGATCATCTGGCTTATACATGTATATGCAAAGTATTTGTGATTGCTTTTTTATAAATGATCCACATATTGATTTATCTATTATTAGGTACACATTATTTAAGAAGTATGAATAACAAGTTCCAACCGTGGAGTAATTGGAAAGTGCGGACTGAGCTTGGTATGGCTCCTATGAATCCAACAGAGGAAGGTTTAGCCTCACTTCACAGTGTACTGTTGAGGAAAGATCCATGTTTATGGAGATGTGCACTATTGTATTATACCGTGTATAAAGCTGCTCACTTGTCTTTGAAGGAACTATTTATAGATTTAGGAAAGTTTGTCAATGATCCGCAAGTACGATGGGACTATTGTATAAGGGCAAAGAGAGGGCAAGCTGACACGTCCAGACCAGGTATAGTCAAGAATTTATGATAAGAAGGGAAAAACACAATAGAAAATGCACTTACTACTAAATTATTAACATCAAAGGGGAGATAAACCAACTTTAAAATAAAGCAAAATGTCAACTTCTAATTCAATGTGGTGCCCTTAGGCTCTAACATTTTATATGTCTTTTACGAGTTGAAACTTTACTGTGAGTGTTTTTATCTTCATTCAATAATAATAACTACTTTATAACTTTTTTTCTTCAAATCTTGCAGATATTTATAAAGGTGACATGTGACTGTTAACTGATACCTCATATTCCATCAAGACATAAATTCTGAACTTTACTGTTTATGGGACAGAACATATCAAATTAGTGTGTAGGACTTTGTCTTTTTTAAACAATGAATATAATGTATTCATAGTAAATTTTCTTCCAATTGAATTGATATTTGAATTTGTCTTACCACCAAAATTTGCTATAATTTAAATTTTTTACACCAATACTACAGAAAGTTTCATTGAATTTTGAAATTTAGCAAGAACTTGAACACCTCAAATCCAAAATCCATGAAAATTGTTAACAAAGAAAATAAATGAATTCACAGTAAATGTTAAATACAGCATCAAGGAAATGCAGTGTGATGATGCAATAATTATAAGTCATACATTACAGGTGCTTTTTGTAAAGATCAAGTATATCTAGATGGAGCTTTACAGATTTTGAAGAACAGACGTCATTTAGACTTCCATTCTTTGTTAAGATATGGAAAGATATCCTACAGAGATATCGACATTATAAGTGATATAGCAGAATTAGAATATACAAGAATTCCATCATTTATGGAGGATCTTCATGTATACAGGGGACATTTAGACAGAATTTGTGATGCCAATGGCTTAACAGATGATATTCTAGTGAAAGTTTAATTAATTGGTGTTATTTTATATTTTTATGAGAGTACTGCCATCTGTGCAGATATCTTATCAGATAAAATTTAAAGCATTACAACATTTAATGAAGACAGTATTTAAAGCAATGAATTAAATGCTGCTGCCTGATGTACCTATTCAGGGTAAAAATATTTAAAAAAATTAAAAATGGCTACCAGTTCCCAGTAGGCTAGTACCCTACAGGCAATGCCCAATATATAGTGCCTGTAACAGGAAATGTCATGTATTGTTAAAAGCTATTTAAAAAAATTATTGGCATATAATTTTAATTCTTGTATTTCTTATATTATTTCTTAAGTTACAATCAACTAATTTATATTCTTCTTATTTTTATTTTTTGATTACTTAAACCTTTTAAAATCAATATATTTTTGAGTTGTCTATATTTAATTGTTTGACAATGCTGAGCATTTTTGACAATCTCTATTCCTTTTTTATGTTAAGCTAAGCTCACTTTGTTTTTAAGTTTGTGAAACTGTTATCTTCACTTACAGAACAATCCTTTGAAATCCCTTTAGACTATTAGGCTAAAATTTAAACTTGCATAAGGTAGAAAGTTTTACTTATTTATCCTCATGAATTTCCTGATTTTTAATATTTTTTAAAGCTGATTTATGCAGTTTATATATGCTAGAGAAAGAATCAATTTAATTTAATTTCTATTTCTTTAAAAAATGACCAAAGATATTGTTTAAAAACTTCATATTATTATTATGTTGTCATAATATTTCTGTTTTAGCTATATAAAATTTATATTGGGTCACCAGATTCATACATGATATCAGGAACAAACAAATTTTGTGAAATAAAAAATAAAGAACCAGACAAAGGTACAACCACTTAGTTAAAAATGTAAATCTACTTAAACTGAAGAAAAAAAAACACAATAAATTAAAGATAAATGACAGAAAGTAGCAGCCCAACATTTCAACCCAAAAGTTATTTGTGAGAAGGGAATCAATCAGGCAATAAATTACAAGAAAGGCGTCTGGACTAGGACATTCATTTTCTATTTTATCAGTTATTATTTTGTGTTTTTTTAAGTTGTTGTAGTTTTACCATTTGAACTTGATCTTTGTACTTTTGACCAGTTAATTATTTTTATATTATCATATGGTATAGGGCCTTAACTCTACCTCATTCCGATAAGTATTAAACATAAGATCATATGTAATAAATTGTTTGATTTAAAAATACTGTTTCATAGTTGTTACAAAATAAAAATAATCTGCTTAAGTTTATCTAAAGGCTTTTGGAATGTAAGGGAGATAATCATGTATATTTCAGATATTTTAGTTCGTAAAGGGTATAGGATTATTTCTGTTACTGACACATGACATAATTTTATTCAAAGACTTCATATGACAATAAAAAGATGAGAAAGTTTATGAAATGTGTATGTTCAGATTGTTATTTTGAAGAATGATTAGAAAAGGACACCTGCTTCAAATGAAAAGATGTGTTTGTAACTTAAGACTAGGTAAAATAAAAAATTTGACCGCAGTCCATCACTAGGATCCTGGTTATGACCTTCTGCATATACCCTTTATCTTCATTTTCTCAAAATTTGCTCTCTGAAAACAAGAAAATAATGTAAACTTCAATTTTTTGAATGATGAAAATGTGGGTGAAGTTTTGGTGTTTATTTTTTGAGTGAGTTTTTGGTTTTAGGGTAAAATCATGAGTATGTATATTCTTGGTGCATTATATTAGGTGAAGGAAATTCATTCAGTTTGTAAATTTGTCCAGTTTTGCTTTATCAGTTGTTATAGATTTGTTTTTTGTAAATATATTTTGAGGACAATACTTAATTTGCAGCAATCATGTTTATCTTTAGAATCTGAACCTATAAAAAAAACTGGTTGCAATATATCAGTAGTAATAAGTAGTAAGCATAGCATGGGGAACAAATATTATGACGAAGCAATGTCAAAAAAGAATTATTTTTTTTATTAAAGGGGGCATTACACAGCCAAATGAATCTGCTCCTGTACATACAAAATATCAATTCATTAAATTTTGAACGATTTAAGATAATATGTAAGATTTGAAGATAATCATGTTATTATTTTGTTCTGGATTCAAATTGATATCAGTGTCTTTACTTGTTCTTTTCAATCTCTACAGAATTAATCAAGTTTGAAATTAGTCAAATATGTTAAAAATAAAACAATCATCTGAACTTTATTGTTTTTTAGTTATTCAAAATAGATTATTTGAAATAGAAAAGTACTGCTATGGAGATTTTAAGTGCTTTTAAAAAAAAAAATGTTTTGAATAATGTCATATTTGCTTGTTTATGGCATATATTAATATAAGATGCCATAGTTGTTATATGAATTGAAGTTGTTTTTGTTTTTATGTGACAATTGTTAAAATTTACACATTGGTTGTTTTGTACTATTTTTTGTTTGTTTTTGTGTTTTATTTATTTGTATCTTACCTAATTGGCAGTTGGAGGTGCTGATCTTTAGATATTGAATACCTAATATAAACTTCATTATTTTTTTTTTTGCCTTTTTGATATGATATGGTATGGTTTGAATTTTTTTTTACCAATGTCAACATGTACCAATATATTTTTTTGAGCTAGATTTTGTTTTGAATTAAGGCAGAAATAAATCTTTTAATTTAAACAAATGCATTTTTAGGTATTTGCCAACTGAATGGCATACTTAAGAAACTATGGTTTAGAAATAGCATATACTTTTTACATCTGTCCAACTGTATTTTTTATTTTATTTTTTTAACATGCCTTAATTGCCTTGTATTAGTTGTTTTATTAACTTGACATAGTTTATATTCTATTATCTTGTTCATTGTTTAAAAGATTTTAAGCAGATAGAAAATGTTCTTAATTGACAATTTGTATTTTTTTGTTAGTAATTCTAGTAGGTTTCTATGACAATAGAATGCAATTTGTTTTGTTTAAATAGAATCCTTGAACAACATTGATTAAGGTTATTTCAATAAAAGTTACATATATATATGAAAAATCTTAACTTTCATACTTTTGTCTAACATTTTAATCCTATATTGCATTTTTTAACAGTTTATTAACAGTGTCTTTTGTAAGAATTTTCTTAACAAGTTTTCTATTTAAGTTCCTCATATAGTTTTTGTCTATCCTGCAAAGAAAATGGTTGAATGAGAGACATAGGGATGCTGATCCAACAAAAGTGTCAGTTATATGTATAAGTTATAATATTTAGGATGAGAAGAATAGCTTGATTATCATTTCTTGTATACAGATGCCTTAACCTCTGAATTTTCTTTTCTGTTACTTTGATTAATAGGCCAACTTTATTTGGTTTGTTGAATCTTTGTAAGGTGTACATGTCCATCTTACAGGGTTTATTGGTCAATGTTGATGTTTTGTGATGAGGTAAGTTTTATCAGGAACTGTAAGTAATTGGTCAGCTGAATTGCTGTTTATACAATTATTGTTAGGTGAACCTATCCATCTGACCTCATTTGCATGGTTCATTGTTAAAGACCCTTAGTTATAGGTTAATTATATTGGTCTACAATAACATTATCAGGTAAACCTATCCATCTGACCTCATTTGCATGGTTCATTGTTAAAGACCCTTAGTTATAGGTTAATTATATTGGTCTACAATATCATTGTTAGGTGAACCTATCCATCTGACCTCATTTGCATGGTTCATTGTTAAAGACCCTTAGTTATAGGTTAATTATATTGGTCTACAATATCATTGTTAGGTGAACCTATCCATCTGACCTCATTTGCATGGTTCATTGTTAAAGACCCTTAGTTATAGGTTAATTATATTGGTCTACAATATCATTATCAGGTGAACATATCTGTCTCAGTTGGTTCGTTGTTTATTGATCAAAATTGAAGAGGGTGTTGATAGGGGGTCCTCCATTTCTGTATTTTTATAAGCCCGTCAAAATTTTGACGGGACGTATTATGGTATACAAATGTCGTCTGTCCGTCTGTCTGTCCGGCGTAAACATGTCGCACCGTAACTTGAGAACAACTTATCCAAATTTCATGAAACTTAAGATAGTTGTTTCTTATGATGGTCAAACGATCTGTATACTTTTTGGTGAAAATAAGATTAAAACTTTTCGAGTTACGGGACTTAGTAACTATATAACAGGTGTGTGTTTTTTTTCACATGTCGCGTCGTATCTCAAAAACCATTTATGATTATTGCTTAAAACTTTACACACTTCTTAGTTATATTAATCTTAAGATCGGTATACTTTTTGGTGATGATTCAAAATTTTATTTTAGAGATATTGAGTATTTTGGTAAAAAAGGGGGAGGGGTTTTTCACATGTCGCGCTGTATCTCAAAAACAGTTTATGATTAATACTTAAAACTTTACACACTTCTTAGTTATATTAATCTTAAGATCTGTATACTTTTAAGTGATGATTCAAAATTTTATTTTTGAGTTATTGAGTATTTTGTAAAAAAAGGGGAGGGGTTTTTCACATGTCGCGCCGTATCTCAAAAACGATTTATGATTATTGCTTAAAATTTTACACACTTCTTAGTTATATTAATCTAAAGATCTGTATACTTTTTGGTTTTGATTCAAATTTTTATTTTAGAGATGTTGAGTTTTTTGTAAAAAAAAGGAGGTTTTCGCATGTCAGACCGTATGTCAGAAACTATTTATGATTATTGCATAAAAATTCACACACAAGACGACGGGCACCAGTCTCAAAGAATTTCAATGATTTATTCAGTCTCAATCTGTGAAGCAAGGGATATATTTTAATGTTTTCAGTCTTGCTTTTATCTTTTGTATTCCAGTATGTTATTCTGTCCTTCCATTATTCTGTCCATGAGATATGAAGTGTGGCTTAATTTTTTATGCCCCCGCCATGGCGGAGGGGGCATTAAGTTTTACCCTTGTCCGTCTGTACGTACGTCTGTCCGTACGTTCCAAAATTGGTTTCTGTTCTCTAACTTTAGTTTGCCTCAACACAATGTTATGAAACTTATGCACAATGCTTATTACCACAAAACTCAGATCAAGTACAACTTTGGGTAGCTTCACTTTTACAGTTCTTGAGTTTTGTCCCTTTATAACGTTATATGCAAGCGGGGGCATCATCTGTGTCCCATGGACACATTCCCCAATTTTTTTGTTGTACCTTTTGAATAAACTTGATTATTTGACACACAAAATTGATCTTTGAAATAGTTATTACTTTTATTTATATCAAGGAAGTACCAAGGTACAGGAAAAATACAAGTATCGGTATGATACTTTGTCCTTTCAATATGGTGTTTAACATGTTTAAATCAATTGTCTGTAAGTGGAAATTTAAAATCGTTTTTAAGTTCTTTTTATAATTGCTTTATAAAAGAAAATAAAACATAAATTTTGATAGGTATAAAAGAGCATTTCATATAAAATGATTATGTTGATGGCTTAGTGATAGACTGTGATTATTAGGAATATTATTTGTTTTGTATTGTTTAATTTTTTGTCTTGTTTTAATATATTAAAATGTTTCTAATATACTTTTCATACAGTGAAATTTATTTTTTTGTTGCATTATTCCTTTTATTACTATGAAAAAACGGGGGAAAAAGGGTACAAAAAATAGTGCTTATTATTGGAAAAAATTCGTGTGACAATTGAGCAAAACTATTATAAAAATTGGATTCCACCTATGTTAAGAAAACCTTAACAAATTTGTATTTGTAGAGCCTGCAAAGAGTTGCAGAAAGCAGGACATAGGGATAGTGAGCCGGCAGCGGCGTTAACTAACTACTTAAATTAAAAGCTTTATATTTTAGAAGCTGGAAGACCTGGATGCTTCATATTTTGTATATGGATGCCTTATGTTATGAAGTTTCCGTCTGTGTCATATGTCCATTGTCCTTGACCTCATTTTATGGTTCAGTGACTACTTGAAAAAAAAGTTAAGATTTTTTGTAATGTTAATTTCTCTTTTATTATGAGTAATAGGATAACTATATTTAGTATGTGCATACCTTGCAAGGTCCTCATGCCTGTCAGAATGTTTTCATATGACCTCGACCCCATTTTCTTGGATCATATTAAGTTTATCTGATACTTGTAGTAAAGCTTTATATTTAGGACTATCAACATAAAATCAATGATCATTAACGCAGGCGAGACATTTCAGCGTGTGCACTCTTGTTAATAATAAGGTTCGTAGATTTTTAAAAAATTGTCTAAGCTGTATTTGGCAAGACCTAATAGAATTTTGGGTCCTCAATGCCTTATAACCATGTTCCTCATTTGGCCTTCTAACTTTTTTTATTCGAGAATCACCAAAGGGTCTTTTATATACTAAACACATGTCTGGCATACAAAATTATAAGCCTGGTATTGGTGACTTTTATAAAAAGGTTTTTATAGAAAAAAACATTTAAAATGTTTTACAACACAAAAAAAATAATATTAACTGGTACATGTATTTTTGATGAGTTTTTAGTCAAGACATAATAAACTTTAAGTAGAGGCTCACAGGAGCCCAAATCACTCACCTGGATTTAAATAGCAGACCAGATGACTCAAAAGTCCTGTTTATTGGCTGCCTGGAAGAGAATTCTTCTTTCATCATTTCCCTCAAGTAAGGTTGCATTCTGTTCATCACATTATTTTTCAAAATAATAGTTGGTGTAATAATCTATTTTTTTACATGGAAATACTGGGCGTCCTTCCGTCTGTGCGTCCGTCCATCCGGTCTTGTTAGCCTTCCCATGTGTACAATTCTTGCCAGATTGTTATGAAACTTATATCATAGGTTTATATTAGCAATGTCTTGGACAAGTTCGAAAATCAGTACCATCCATTTGTCCATTCGTCTGTCTGTCTGTCCCGCTTCAGGTTAAAGTTTTTGGTTCATATTTTGGTCAAGGTAGTTTTTGTCAAGCCTGCGACTTTTGTTGCAAAAAGCTCGACATAGGGATAGGGATTCGGCGGCGGCAGGGTTAACTAACTTCTTATAAACTTAATATTTCAGAAGTTAGAAGACCTGGATTCTTCATACTTTGTATATAGATGTCTTATGATATGAAGTTTCCGTCTGTCATATGCCCATTGTCCTTGACCTCATTTTCATGGTTCAGTGACTACTTGAAAAAAAAAAAATTTTCTTCAACTATAAGCAATAGATCAACTATATTTGATGTATGGAAGGATTGTAAGGTGTATATGTCTGTCTGGCAGGTATCATCTGACCTTGACCTCATTTTCATGGTTCATTGGTCAATGTTAAGTTTTCATGGTTAAGTTTGTTTCTTAGATACTATAAGCAATAGGTCAACTATATTTAATGCATAAATTGATTGTAAAGTGTACATGTCTGCCTGGCATGGTTCATCTAACCTTGACCTCATTTTCATGGTTCATTGGTCAATGTTAATTTTTCTTGGTTAAGACTGTTTCTTAGAAACTATAAGCAAAAGGTCAACTATGTTTGGTTTATTGTATGATTGTAAGGTGTACATGTATTTCTCGTTTGGTTTATCTGACCTTGACCTCCTTTTCTTGGATCATGTTAATTTTATGTGTTACTTGTAGTAAAGCTTTATATTTAGGACTATCAACACAAAATCAATGGTTAGTAAAGAAGGCGAGACATTTCAGTGTGTGCACTCTTGTCTAATACTGTATGCAGTAGGTCAACTATATTTGGTGTATGGAAATATTTTACGATGTACATGTCAGTCTGGCAGGTTTTATTTGAACTTGACCTCATTTTCATGGTTCATTGCTTATGTTAAGTTTTTGTGTTTTGGTCTGTTTTTCTTAAACTTGCAATAGGTCAACTATATTTGTTGTATGGAAAGATTGTAAGGTGTATATGTCTGTCTGGCAGGTATCATCTGACCTTCACCTCATTTTCATGGTTCATTGGTTAGTATAGAATTTCCATGGTTTGGCCTGTTTCTTTTATACTATAAGCAATAGGTCATCTATATTATGTGTATGGAATGACTGTATTAATGGTGTACATGTATTTCCGGCTTTGTTTATCTGACCTTGACCTCATTTTCTTGGATCATAAATGTTAATGTGATACTTGTAGTAAAACTTTATATGTAGAACTATCAACATAAAATCAATGGTCGGTATAGTAGGCGAGACATTTCAGCGTGTGCACTCTTGTTTGATGAAGTTGAAGTTCAATCAACTTGAAACTTAGTACACATGTTCCCTATGATATGATCTTTCTAATTTTAATGCCAAATTAGAGTTTTGACCCCAAATTTCACGGTCCACTGAACCTAGAAAATGATAGTGCGAGTGGGGCATCTGTGTATTATGGACACATTCTTGTTAAAAAAGTTATGCCCCTTGGAAACATTAATTATATTGAAAATTGCATCGTTAGCGCTGTCATTTGTACAATTCTTGCCAGATTTTTATGAAACTTGTATCATAGGTTTATATTAGCAATGTCTTTGACAAGTTCGAAAATCAGTGCCGATCAATTTTTTTTAAAAGAGTTATGCCCCTTGGAGATATATAATTTATATGGAGAATTGCATTGTTAGCGCTCTCATATGTACAATTCTTGCCAGAATTTTATGAAACTTAAATCATATGTTTATACTAGCAATGTCTTGGACAAATTTTGAAAATCAGTGCCGATCAATAATTTTTAAAAGAGTTATGCTCCTTGGAAATATTAATTATATGGAAAATTGCCTTATGAGCTCTAATGTGTACAATTCTTGCCAGATTTTTATGAAATTTATATTGTAGGTTTATATCATCAATGTACTTTAATTTTCTCAATTGAATTGTTTCATATTTTTCATGTCGGGGCTTTTTATAGCCGACCATAAGTTATAGGTTTTTCTCATTGTTGAAGACTGTACGGTTGCCTATAATTGCCAACATCCACTTCATTTGAACTTTGGTGGATAGTTGTCTCATTGGCAATCAAACCACATCTCCTTATTTTTATATTGAAGAGTTCAAAAATCAGTGCTGATCAATTATTTTTAAAAGTGTTATTCCCCTTGAAAATATTGATTCTATTGAAAATTGCAATGTTATCACTCTCATGTGTTCAATTCTTGCCAGTATTTTATGAAACTTATATCATAGGTTTATATCAACAATGTCTTTGACACTTTCGTAAATAAATTTTGATCAAATAGTTGTAACGAGTTATGCCCCTTGGAAATATAAATTGTAATGGAAATCACATTGTATTTGCTCTGAAGCCTTCATTTCTCTTAAGATATTAATAAAAAGTTTTAAGAATAAAAAAAAGTGCTTTTTTTAGTTATTGCCCTTGTACCTTGGATAGATAAAGTACGTGCAATGCGGGGGACATTGGAACTCTGTTCTTTTATTATTAAAGAAAAGGGCATAATAGCAGCCATGTTTGCAAGCATATCTGGCATAATTTTCAACATAAACCTGCTGAGAATTATTCTGGCCAAAATTATCCACATTTGCCCAGTGGTTTGGAAAGATTTTTGCAACTTTTATGCATTTCTGATTTGTATAGCAACATCAGCTCAATATATTTGGAAAGTAGCAGGGTCATTGTCAAAGCTCAATTTTGGTGGAACCATTTAGAAAGTAGCAGGGTCATTGTCAAAGCTCAATTTTGGTGGAACCATTTAGAAAGTAGCAGGTTATGGCTGAGCTCCATTATGGTGGCCATATTTAACAAGTAGCAGGGTTATTGGATGAGCTTCTCTGTGGTGGCCATATTTGACAAGTAACAGGGTTATGGCTGAGCTCCAATATGATGGCCATATTTGATAATTAGTAAGATTATTCGATGAGCTGCATTATAGTGGCCATATTTGACAAGTGACAGGGTTATGGCTGAGCACCATAATGGTGCCATATTTGACAAGTAACAGGGTTATGGCTGAGCTCCATTATGATGGCCATATTTGACAAGTAGCAGGATTTTGGCTGAGCTTCATTGTGTTGGCCATATTTGGCAAGTAAAAGGGTTATGGCTGAGCTCCATATGATGGCCATATTTGGTAAGTAGTAGGGTTATTCAATAAGCTGCATTATGGTGGCCATATTTGACAAGTAACAGTGTTATGGCTGAGCTCCATTATGGTGCCATATTTGACAAGTAACAGGGGTATGAATGAGCTCTATTATGATGGCCATATTTGACAAGTAGCAGGGTTATGGCTGAACTTCATTATGGTGGCCATATTTGACAAGTAGTAGGGATTATGGCTGACATTCATTATGATGGCCATATTTGACAATTAGTAGGGTTATTCGATGGGCTGCATTATGGTGGCCATATTTGACAAGTAGCAGGGTTAATATGGCTGAGCGCCATTGTGGTGGCAATATTTGACAAGTAGTAGGGTTATGGCTGAGCTCCATTATGCTGTATTATGGTGACCATAATTGACAAGTAGCAGGGTTATGACTGAGCTCCACTGTGGAGGCAATATTTGACAAGTAGTAGGATTATGACTGAACTCCATTATGCTGTATTATGGTGGCCATATTTGACAAGTATAACAGGGTCATTGACTGGGCTTCATTGTGGCAAGTAGCAGGGATTGTTTAATTTCTAATAGTGAAAATATTGGATCAGGCAAGGATTTGTATAGTCTTACTATACAAATCATTGGATCAGGTATTGAAGTGAAATGAATTTTTTCAAATATTTTGAAATTTTAACAATTGCAGCCATCTTGAAAAGCTGACAATGATATTGGTAACTATTCGAATATTCATTTGAACTAAATAACTTTCGAATACATGACATTAAAATGCATTTTACCCATATGTTCTATTTATAGTAATGTCATCCACATGGCAGGCATATGCGACATGAATTTTTAAACTAGACAGTCTAAGGATGATTGTGGCAACGTTTACTGCAGATTGAACATTGGTTTCATAGAAGCATTTTGAAAACACTGCATTATTTCCCATAGGTAAGTATATGAATAAATTCCATGGTGGCCATATAGGAAAAGTAACAGGATCAGTAGCTCTATTTTTGATAGAAAGTCATTTAAAGACGATTTTCAAGAAAACGTCATTCAATTTGAATATTTATCTGGCCTGTGACAGGTGTTAGACATATCCGTAGTTTATACTATTTTTATAAAACATCATATTTCGGAAGATAGAATAGCTGGGTCTTTGGTTGAGTTCTATTATGGTCATATTTGGCAAGTTGCTGGGTGCTTTTAAACCTTCCTCCAAAATGAATATGTAGATCCAAACAATGAACTGCGATCCGAAGCAGAGATTTTGGATTTTATCAATTTATCTTTATATTAGGTGTATATTTATCATATGAATCTCCATTAAGTTTATTTTTATTATAGTCTACATAATTGATTATCTTATTTGGTATGCCAGTTAAACAGAAACAAATATTCATAGTTGTTTTTTTTCTGACTTTATAAAAATATAATATCTAACAGATTCTAAAACATTCCCCGTGTTCGTTCAATTCTAATCAAGTTATAAAAATGCTATAATCCTGTTTTTCCGGGTTCCGTTTCCTATATAGATTCAAGATGTATGATGTTAAAGTTACTAATACCATACAAGTACCACATAAAGAGAGAGCGACAATAATTGCCATACTCATTTGAAAACAATCCTCGTATACAGGATCATACTCAACAAAGAATGTGTTCTTCAAGTGTTCTGGTGAATGGCACAAATAGTTGTTTCCCCTACTCCCCCTAAATCTCGTGTAGCCAGTCCTCAACCAGGTTCTGAACCAATGTATTTCGCAGGTACAAGAAAACGGATTACCCTTAAAGTCCAAGAACGGACGCCCATTATATCCATCGATTATATTTCGAGGAAAGAAGTTTTCTTTGATTATTTCAATTTTGTTGTTCTTCAGCAACAGTTGGCCCCTTATTGTCACATTAACAAATGTTTCGTGTTCCCAAGTTGATATATTGTTTGAAGACAAGTCTAATACGTTTAATCTTTTAAAGCAACGGAGTGCATTCGAGGGTATGGATTTAAAGTAAGTCCTAGGTAAGAGCAAATGATCCAGTGTTGCACACAGTGGTTTGAGGAACATCGTAATATCACTGTCTGTCCATTTACGCATATCGACCGAGTCCATTTTCAAATACTTCAGGTGGTAAGCATCTTTCAAGAACGCCTTTGAATATTTTGGGCTGATCTCATTATAACTTAGGTTTAAATACCGTAATGCCGAGTTGTTTATACCCGAAAAGACTTGTAAATGTGATGTGATGTTGCACAAGCTGAGACTTCTGAGGGACGACAAACGAGAGAATGTCTCTATTGGTAGAAACGTTATTGGATTGGAGTCTAAATATAAATCCTCTAGATGTTCAAGTGTGTGATTGTAATTATAAAACAGACTAAAATTGATAAAACGATTGTAACTCAGGTCAAGTCTGGTCAGTGAAGTCTTTTTACTTTGAACATTCAGATCAGATAATTCCGTATATTTTGCTGAAAATATTTTAACTGGAGGAATAACTGTCATATCTATGGAATAGAGTATGTTACGACTAACATCTAATTCAATTAGGTTTTGTAAATGTTCAAACATCTCAAGTGTTAAAGAAGTTAGACCACAAGCTGCAAGGCGAACGAACTTTAATTTTTCGGAAGCAGATGTGTTGAAGAAATCGACCACATAACGTCTTAATGGTATATTCGAAAGGTCTATGCCTATCAGGTTGGTCGTTCTGAAACATGATGCCAGCTGCGATATGTTAATTTCCCCATTATTGCTAAAGTCAATAAACTCTAGGGAATGCAGATCATTGAAAGTATCAGCCTCAACTTGTTCTATTCTACAGGTATTAAGGAATAGCTCTGAGATTGGCAGATTCCACAGATTCTCAAATGTTGTTCGATTTATTCGAGGCAAAATGTTTCCTGAAAACTTAAGTTTCGTATAGTTTTGTATAAATTCAGGAATGTGAGTCAGCTTTTGACTGCTACAATCGGCCCTATATGGTACTCTAGTTCTGTTGACCAATCTACTGTTACACTCACACTTAGGGTGTGCAGGTGGACATTTCCATTGCGTTCCTCTTGCTTCTAATTCTACGTATATAATGCTTAGAATGACGAAAAAAATACACGTCTGCCAACCATGAATCATTTTATTTGATTGCCGTCTGCTCTATCATAACTTTTAAAAATATTTCTGTCCTTTGAATAAACTGACCATAATTGATTCTTGTTCATATCAGCATCCTAAAAAGGATAAACGAAAGGAATAAATAATTCTTTGTAAGAATAGGCAGCGGAACAGAAATGTGTGCCTTACCACCACCACTTACATACACACCTCAAAGGTAAGGATAAATATGTGCCTTACCACCACCACTTACATACACACCGCAAAGGTAAGGATAAATATGTGCCTAACCACCACCACTTACATACACACCGCAAAGGTAAGGATAAATGTGTGCCTAACCACCACCACTTACATACACATCGCAAAGGTACGGATAAATGTGTGCCTAACCACCACCACTTACATACACACCGCAAAGGTAAGGATAAATGTGTGCCTAACCACCACCACTTACATACACATCGCAAAGGTAAGGATAAATGTGTGCCTAACCACCACCACTTACATACACACCGCAAAGGTAAGGATAAATGTGTGCCTAACCACCACCACTTACATACACACCGCAAAGGTAAGGATAAATGTGTGCCTAACCACCACCACTTACATACACACCGCAAAGGTAAGGATAAATGTGTGCCTTACCACCACCCCTTACATACACACCGCAAAGGTAAGGATAAATATGTGCCTTACCACCACCCCTTACATACACACCGCAAAGGTAAGGATAAATATGTGCCTAACCACCACCCCTTACATACACACCGCAAAGTTAAGGATAAATATGTGCCTTACCACCACAACTTTCATACACACCGCAAAGGTAAGGATAAATGTGTGCCTTACCACCACAACTTACATACACACCACAAAGGTAAGGATAAATATGTGCCTAACCACCACCACTTACATACACACCGCAAAGGTAAGGATAAGTGTGTGCCTTACCACCACCACTTACATACACACCGCAAAGGTAAGGATAAGTGTGTGCCTTACCACCAACACCGCAAAGGTAAGGATAAATGTGTGCCTAACCACCACCACTTACATACACACCGCAAAGGTAAGGATAAATGTGTGCCTAACCACCACCACTTACATACACACCGCAAAGGTAAGGATAAATCAAACTGCGATATCCCTTTGTAAGGAAAAGGAGTAAATGTGTGCATTGATTGTCACGGTTTTTTTTTACATATATAGTTTTATATTTCAGAATAAGGAGATGTGGTATGATTGCCAATGAGACAATCTACCAAAGTTCTAATGACGAGGATATAAGCAATTAAAGGCAGCCGTACGGCCTTCACCAATGAGAAAAAACCCATACAGTATAGTCGTATAAATTACGTTCATTGAAATCCAAAACGCGACTACAGACACGGGCATACCAAACAAGTTATGAAATATATACACCGTAAGAAGGTGCCCTAGGAACATCACCGTCCAAAAAGGGAAAATTAACAAATGGGAACGAAGAATCGTCTCTTCTGTCGTATACTTTTATACGGAGTTTCTCGAGTGAAGCTGAGATATTCAATTATTGCTGTCTGTATAATATTTATTTAAAGTAAATTCCTTTGGGTAAATTTCAGCATTCAAATTAGAAAATTCTTGATTATTTAAAGCAAAATTATAATCAAGGTAACGGTACGTGTTTTAAAATTTATCAATTAAATATAATTTAAACGGATCTTTACAGAGTTTGGCCATAAACTGTGATTCATAACAATACAGAAACAAGTCTGCTATCAAAAGGGTCCAATAGATACCCATAGGAAGACCTAGTCGATAAACTTTATTGCCGAAACGTACATAAATGTTGTCAAGAAGAAAATTTAAAGCTTTAATCATCTCATCACAGTTCCAGTAAATATATCTAGTACATTTCCCTTTTTTCATTACAGACGAAGGCTTTATATATGAGTTGCAGCAAATTCTGCAACCAGATTTTTCAAAGGACAATCTAATTAAAAAAGACAGCTTCCGTTTGACAAGATCGTGTGGTACGTAGTTTAGTGTAAAAATAATAACTGTCGACTGAATAGAACGAACGGACCATCGAAAACACGTAATTTATCCAAAACATCCGAAGAGATTTTGACACCCCAAAAATAATTAATACCATTATTTTCATATGTTTTATTACAAAAATTATTAACAAGTTCTTTAATAGAAGTAAGGGACCTAGTTAACAGTAGAGAAAGATTAAAAGTATAACACTTAATTACTAGAAGCTGATATGACACGAAATTTGAACTTTTTTTTTGTACTCCATGAAGCCAATACATAGTAGGGACTTTCAAATGTTCAGAGGAGGCCTTAATCTGAGCTGTGGTAGTGACATTATTATTTACTATTTGAATCTCTGTGGAGCGCACAGCCTTGCATTGTCTATTTTTTTCTTTTATTTAGTATCTGAATAAATATGATACAGGTCGGCCACATTTCCTTCTTTATCTCTGTTCTAAATATAATAATTTAAATGCTTATTTGGGAGGAAGTATGTTGTCACGCATTAAAAAAAACAATCACAAAAAAACTTAATTTTTTGTCAATGTTACATGCTTGTATACTTTTTATTTAGTAACAATTCTATTGCATGGATTTTACAATCTTATCTGATCTCAAGTATATAAGAAAAAAGTTTAAGATACTATTGAATACCTTTAAATCCATTCAGGTAGAGTCGACCCCTTAGTTATCTTAGTGCTACTGGTGCAAGAACTTTTCTTCCGCCACCATTTTTTGTAATATTCCTTGATAAAACATCATGAATATTTACCAAATATGTAATATATAGGCGCAGGTTGTAGTTCCACAGTTTATTCCTATATTATTTGTGAATACAAATTCATCTGTTTGTAATACAACACATGTTCAAGGCATACATTCTAGCAGACTGCATAAACATTAACAAAGATAAGTCCCCGTAGACATAAAAAAAAACCAAACGATATGAATCTTTAAAGACATACCTAAAATTAACGCAAATGCAAAGATTGCATGGTCGACACTTGCATACCTGGAGCCTTTTGTTTCTGTCTGTTGGGCAGGTTGACACGGAAAGCCATCTTTATAAAAACAAACCTACTTTCTGCTTTCCGACATTCCTTATTTTGTCAAAATTATTTATATTTAGTTATTATATATATATACTTACAAACAAGATGGTGAAAATCCATAACAAGGAAGTATTTAAAACTATTTTTAAATCATGGAAAAAACGCATCAGTGTCTTGTGATTATATATATATATGGATATTATCTGCTTTCTCTGTTGGATAAAAACCGTCTATCTAATTCAAACTGTATTGGAAATGCCAAAACATTTTTTTCTTAAATGTGAAGCATTAACATTTGCCTTTTAAAACGCTGTAATACATTATAGAGATAATATTGCAAGAGAAAATATCAAATATTAGATCAGAATAAGTGCAAACCCCCTAAAAATAGAGACGAAAAGATATGCAAAAAACTATATATATATATATAAATCACAAAGATTATGTAAAAAAATTCACGTTTGATAAAGTCGAAGATGAAGAACAGTTTATATGTCAATGCCCCCTTCATAATCTCTTGAGAAAAGAGTTATATGATAAAATTTTGAACTGTTAAACACAAGTGCCAAATTTAATTGGCTTTTTATTCAAGAAAACCTAGAGGTATTGAAAATTATTGCAATTTATATTAATAAATGTTTTGAACTCAGAAAACTGTCAATATAGTACAGATATGTTTATACGTAACCCATTGAGAATATTTGGCTCTGGTCTGGCTGTGGTTAAAGATCTTAGAATTGAGATGATTATATTCATATTTATATATCAAAATATTTGTGTCAGTTATCAAAATCATTGTAAGAAATTACATTGCTCTTCATGGGCCCTTTAATTGGAATAAATATCTTATCTTAATATTACGGTCTTTAGGCAATCTGATTAAAAATCGGATATATCGCAACTCGCATGCCCATACGAGGATAACGTAATCAGAGATCTATATTTTAATTAGATTGATCTTTAGGAATAATATTCTAGATGTAATACACGACATCTGTTTTCATTCTGGTTTTGTCTGTACAGTGAACAATATCTATTTACATCGTGCCCCGGCCATACATTCATTATTATATCTTTTGGCTTTTCTTACTCTTCTCTATATTTTTCATCAGTAGTTTAAACATATTGTATTTGCTTAAATATGCAAAAGGGGTGAGACACAAGTTAATCAACCCTATAAAGTCTTCTCCCTCTTCTTCTTTTATCAGTATTCCTCTAATGTGACATCAATGCATCGAATTTAACTTACTTTTTTTCTTCTTCCGCCAAATTTCAAAACTTGTTTTGTGGTGTCGCAAGATGTCGCTTAGATTTTTTGCATATGATATCGAACAGTTATTGCGCTTTTGAGACTGACCCTGTTTAGTTGAAAACTTTTTATTGTAAGAGTTATCCCCCCAAACACTGTTTTCTTTGTGGTGAGTTCTCTTCCGTAACCGTAAAAGAAAGCGACAAATTTATTTTACTAAATTACTTGTTATATCTTCAGGATGATTTGTCAAATTTTAACCGAATCAATTCGTAGACTCCATATGACAGTTATTTCCCCTTTTGAATTTGACATGAGTGATATGTCAATGTATCACATGAATGGTAAGTAATACAGACCTAAGGTACGTGTATTTGAGGTCATGGGTTCATAAAAATAAATTTGAGGTCAAGGTCAAAGGTCAAGGTCATTTTCTAAATTTTGACTTTTCATTGTTCCGAGATCTCCTCTGTAACCGTAAAAGAAAGCGACAAATTTATTTTACCAAATTGCTCGTTACATCTTCAGGATTAGGATGACCATTTGGACCGAAGCTATCCGGAGACTCCATATGAGAGTTATTTCCCCTTATGCATTTGATATAAGTGATATGCATTTCTAATTGGTAAACCATAAGTGATAGAGACCTAGGGTCTTTTGATTTGAGGTCCTTGGTCCAAAAAAAACAAAACAAAATGAGGTCAAGGACAAAGGTCAAGGTCATATTCTAAATTTTGATTTTGGCTTATTTTCACTTCTTTTCAAAAACATATTTTTACTAAATTGTTAGTTACGACATGTCGTAACACATACATTTTGGTTGAAAGGGTACGCTGACATTAAATGGGAGTTTTCTCCCCTATTATATTTAAAATTACGTGTATGATGATATAACTCATTAACCATGTATAATAAAGACCTAGTGTCTTTTGATTTGAGGTCCTTGGTTTATGACCTTGAAATTGAGGTCAAGGTCATAGGTAAATTTGACGTTCTAGATTTTGACCTTTGCTTTAAATTCATATTTATACTTCATAAAGCCATAGGACTTTGTGCATTAGGTTACAAGTCAGGTGCTCCCGAAGTGTAAGCAGATCCTGCTCCATATGTGGCATTCGTCGTATTGCTCATGTAAGGACAAACCCGGTGATAAGTCTAATTCAGTGGGTCATATTCGAGGAAAAGAGGACGGGATTGTGGCTACATTAATTGGAACATATACCTGTCGTCATCTGTGAAACAAGTATTCCATAACGGTCAACCAACTCACGATGGTGTCCGTAGACCTCTTGAAGGAATAATTTCAACTTCACCACTTCAAACTCTTGGTTCAATAGCTTCCTTGTAAGTAGCAACCCTCTATCAAGGAAATGATGCTACATAGAAATGGAAAGTTCACTATTGGGAAGCTGAAATCATCTCTTTTGTCATAAAGTTTTGTTCTCAACCGATCCTCGCTATCAATTTCTAGATATAAGTCAAGATATGAGACAGACTTAACTGTATCTGTTGTATCTTTTATTTCAAATTCGATAGGATAGATGCGTTCAACATAGTCACCAAACTTAGAATTATTTAGTAAGAGGACATCATGTATAGCGGAACGTGAAGTTAACGGACGATTTTGTTTCTTTTTATTCTTGTTATGAAGCTCCCGAATAAAGTCGGCCTCATATGAGTAAATGAACAAGTTGACAAGAAGAGGAGCAACGCTTGTTCCCATGAGAATGTCGATTGTTTGTTAAAAACACAGCCTCCAAACATAACAAATATGATGTCAATCAAGAAATCAAGCATCTTGATAATATCTGTTTCAGAGAATTTTTTGTTTGAATCAGAGTGATGATTTTTTTGCAGGTTTGTGAAATTTGTTCCTTACCTAGTGAAATAAGTTCCGGGTTTGTGAGATTTGTTCCTTACCTGGTGAAATAAGTTCCTTGTCTGTGAAATATGTTCCACTGGTTATACAAGTTATCTTTTATACTGAGCATTGTTATCAGTGAGTTTAAATTTATAATTCAAGTACATTATAAAAACATGTATTATATTGATAATGTAATAAATAAAAGGTGTAAACATCCAATATGGATTCTGTGGAGTATAGCAAAATGTTTAATTACATTATCCATAAAAAGAATACCCAAATGACAATAATTTAATGAGGCAGATAAGCGAAGAATAAGAAAAATCCGTCAGAAATTTTTTATAGATCAATCATTTATTTATGAATATTGCAATTCAACATATGTTACTTCATATCAGAATGTGTAGATAAACTGTTATCACAGAGATATGTCTCGCCCTTTTGTAATTTTGATTATGCCAATGTTGAAATTAAAATAGCAATACTTTAACATGTTTCATGAGTTATGCAAATATTCAAAGTCAATGAACCATGACTGTCAGGTACATGGCTAAACAATCTCCATGTAAATGAGATGTGCCAAAGCTAATGCAACTGCATACCAAATACCATTGACTTATTATAAGTCGTTCCCTTAAGCAAACCTAAACACAAACATTAACTTGTAAACTATGTAAAAGTTTCAAATTTAATGAACCATGAAGAGGGGGTGGGGGCTAAATAATCTCCATGGAAACGATACTTGCAAATGCCAATAAATTTGCATACCAAATATTTAGTTTCTAAGTCGATAGACCGATAGACCATGACTGAGGGGGCGGGGCCAAATATTCTCGATGGTAATGAGATGTGCTAATGCTTATACAACTGAATATCAATTAACATTTGCCTACCATAAATGGTCCCCTTTGAACTGACCTAATCACAAACTAATACATGTTAACTTAGCAAAATTCTCAAAGGCAATAGACCATGACTAAGAGGGCGGAGCCAAATAATCTCCATGGAAATGAGATATGCCAATGCTTATACAGCTGCATACCAAATATAATTGACTTACCACTAGTGGTTCCCCATAAACTGGCCTAATCACAAACTAACACATGTAAAATAAGCAAAAGTTTCAAAGTCAATAGACCATGACTGAGGGGGCAGGGCCAAATAATCTCCATGGAAATGAGATGTGCCAATGCTAATACAACTGCATACCAAATATGATTGACCTACCACTTGTGGTTCACCATAAACTAGACCTAATCACAAACTAATACATTGTTGACGACGCTGCCGCCGACGCCAGAAACAGCATACCTATGTCTCGCTTTTTTACTCCATCAAGGCGAGACAAAAAATGAAATAGTGTGTTTTAAATATTTATCACAGTTGTTAATCATAGTTGTGCATTTGTTTTTTAATCATATTATCTACGTACAATATATATGCTGACTTAATTTGAATTTCTAAAAGATTTACCTTATTTTGAATGTTCTCGTGTTGTTTAAAGACTTCACTGATGAGTATTAAATTTGTCAGGTACAACTATAGAATGTTTTGCTTGATATAAAGTTAATGCATCATGTTAATCTATAACACCTGGAACTTATTCAACATTTAGTAAAAAATTAGTTCCAGAACACATTTTACAGTGCTGGAACATATTTCCTTATAATATATATTCCGGGTATAAATTTTCTGTGATATAAATTGCGATGGAATATATTTCCTATGAAATAAGTTCCGGCGGAACAAATGTCACGACGGAACAATTTTTTTGTTACAAAAAATAATCTTAGTAGCAAAAAATAATTCAGATATTACTTGAAACTATGAGCAGGGTCAGGAACAAACTTCTAATGTTTGTTTTGAGGTTTATTGACTATTTATACTAGACATGCTATACGAGAGAAAGAGAAATAAAAGAAAATTATAAATTTAAAAGACGAAAATAAA